CCCGCCCTGCCTTCCTTGCATCGAGGGGCGGCAGCGCACTGCTCCTCACTCCTCCTCGTTTCCCCCGATGACTACTTCCCCATAGACTCTCCAGATGGACGTGTGGGGCCCAACCAACCCGCGTCCGTGGACAGGGCCGCGAGCACTACTTTTTGCTGGTTGCTGACGACTACACGCGTTACACCACAGTCTCCCCCTTGCGCAGCAAGGGTGAGATCCCTGACGTTTTGATCCCTTGGATTTGCGCAGCCGGTCTCTAGCTCCGCGAGCAGTTCCGTGAGGACCTTCCTGTCCTACTCCTGCACTCTGACAGAGGTGGTGAGTTCTTCTCCGACCTCTTGCAGGACTTTTGTCGTAGGTAGGGCATCCTCCAGTCGTTCACGCTTCCGGCCTCCCCGCAGCAAAATGGGGTTGTTGAGCGTTGCATTGGCTTAGTCATGGAGGTTGATCGTACCTCCATGATCCATGCGGCTGCTCCCCATTTTCTGTGGCCGTTTGTGGTCTAGTACGCCGCGCATCAGCTCAACTTCTGGCCCCGTGTCTCCTTGCCGCAGACCTCGCCTACACTGTGTTGGACGGGGGAGGTTGGCGATGCGTCGGTGTTCCGGGTCTGGGGCTGTCGTGCCTTTGTCCGTGATACCTCCGCGGACAAGCTCTCTTCCCGCGCCATTCCCTGTGTCTTCCTTGGCTTTCCCCCTGACGCGCCTGGCTGGCAGTCATACCACCCCACCTCGCGCTGTGTCCTGCCCTCTCACGACATCACGTTTGAGGAGTCGGTTCCCTTTTACCATCTCTTCCCCTACCGCACTGCCCCTCTCCCCCCCCCGCTGCTCTTCCTCGCTCCCGGTCCCCCTCCGATAGACCCCCCCCCCCCCCTAGGGTCCTGCTCCCTCAGGTGTGTCTCAGGTAGACCCACACCCCGTGGCTGAGCCTGTCGAGGTAGCTGTCTGGTGCTGCTGGGGGAGGTACTGCTAGGGGTGTTGCGTCTAGGGGTGATGGGCCTGAGCGTGCGGAGCCTGGGGGTGCTGAGCCTGAGGTTGCTGAGTCTAAGGGTGCGGAGCCTGGGGGTGCTGAGCCTGGGGGTGCTGAGCCTGAGGGTGCGGAGCCTGGGGATGCTGAGCCTTGGGGTGCTGAGCCTGGGGGTGCTGAGCCTGGGGGTGCTGAACCTAAGGGTGCGGAGCCTGGGGGTATTGAGTCTGGGGGTGCTGAGCCCTGGAGGTACTGTGTCTGCTGGAGGTCCTGCGAGTGCCTCGTCACGATGGGAGCCTCTCTCTCCACTACAGCTGCGTGAGTGGTTTGCTCGGCGCACCCACCTTCGGAGTTGCGCCGCTGGAGCTGGGGGGGCTGCCGCTGGAGACACTGCCGCTGGAGGCACTGGAGCTGGAGGCACTGGAGCTGGAGGCGCTGGAGCTGCTGGTCCTGGAGGTACTGGCGGGCCTACTGGAGCTGGAGGTACCGGAGGTGCTGGAGCTGCTGATCCTGGAGGTGCTCGTGCAGGAGGTCCTTGAGCTGCCGGAGCTGATGGTGCTACTGGTGCTGGAGGTGCTGGAGCTGCTGGTCCAGGAGGTGCTCGTGTTGGAGGTACTGCAGCTGCCGGAGCTGGTGGTGCTGCTGGTGCTGGAGGTGGTGGAGGTGCTGGAGGTACTGGAGCTAGTTGTGCTGCAGGCGCTGGAGCTAGAGACACTAGAGTTGGAGGTGCTGGCGCCGGGGGTGCTGGAGCTGGTGGTACCAGTGTTGAGGCACTGTGCAGTAGCGACCATTTTTGTTTTGCCGCCGTCGTCGTCTCTGCCGCCACCTAGCTTGGTATTTTGCCACGTTCTTGGTCTCCCGTCTTCTACTGGCCTTACTCCTCCCTTACTGTGTCCACTGACTTACCAGTCGCAGCCAGAGTTAGAGCCAAACTCCCCACTGCCTGCTCCTTCTCCTTAGATTGAGCAGACAGACTCTCTTACGGAGCGTCGTGAGCCTACATCTCGTCCTGCCTCGCCTGTTTACGCTGGTCGTCGTGTTCCGCGTCCACGTCCTCCTCCTGTCCCCGGCACTCATCTTGTGATACTTCGTCCTTCCTCTATTCCATTGCGAGTTCCCTTGCCGTCTCCTCCTTCGTCCTCTCTTCCTGACAGTCCGGACCCTGAGTCTGACTTAGTTCGTGCTGCCAGTCCGACTCTCACATGTTTTCTAGCCACTGCTATCACTGACCCTTCGTTTGAGACCACTACTGCGTCTGCCCTTGTTGCTGAGCTTGTTGACTTTGCTGCCGCCTGTCGTCTTAACTACGCCGCTAGTCTTGTTGCTGAGTCTGAGTCTGTCTCTCATCCGTCCGTCAAGGGTGAGTGTGCTCTTGGCACGAACGTCCTTGAGGATAGGCAGGAGGACTTCGATTGTCTTGCAGCTGCTGTACCTCATCTCGTGTTCATGCTGCTTGAACCTAAGGGGGACCCGGATGCACCAGACATCCCGACCCCACGCACTGACGCAGAGGCGATTATGGGTCCCTACTCCTCTTAGTGGCAGACAGCCATAGACGCAGAGATGGCATCCTGGAAGTCCACAAGCACATACGTCGACGCAGTTCCCCCTTCTGGGGCGAACATAGTCGATGACATGTGGATTTTCAGGGTGAAGCGGCCGTCGGGTTCTCCACCTGTCTTCAAGGCTCGTTACGTTGCTCGAGGCTTTAGTCAGCGACAGGGAGTTGACTTCTTCCAGACCTTCTCCCCTACCCCAAAGATGACCACTCTTTAGGTGCTGCTGCATGTCGCCGCTCAGCGTAACTACGCGCTTCACTCTCTTGACTTCAGCATAGCTTTCGTACAGGGCAGCCTGCACGAGGAGATCTGGCTGTGCCGCCAACCTGGCTTTACCGGGTCGTTTCCTGCAGGTACCCAGTGGAGCCTCAGGCGGCCAGTCTACGGTCTCCACCAGGCGCCTCGCGAGTGGCACGACATACTGAGAATGACGCTTGTGGCTCTTGGGTTTGCTCCTTCGACTGCTGACCCATCGTTGTTTCTGCGCACCAACACTTCGTTGCCGCCGTTATACATCCTCCTGTACGTCGACGACTTGGTTTTTGCCGCTGCTGACACTGAAGCACTGGCCCTAGTGAAGTCGAAGCTGCAGAAGAGACACACGTGCACAGACCTGGGTGAGCTGCGAAGCTATCTTGGCTTGCAGATCATCTGGGACAGAGCACGGTGCACCATCACCTTGACTCTGTTACAGATGGTGCACAAGGTACCTTAGCGCTTCTGCTTTAAGTACTCCTCGCCACAGTCCACTCTTCTGCCTACCGGCCGCTCGCTCTCAGGTCCACCTTCGGACGAGTGTGTAGAGCTGATTGGCCCGTATTTAGAGCTTCTGGGCTGCTTCATGTACCTGATGACCTGCACTTGACCTGACTTTGCATACCCTCTAAGCATCCTAGCACGCTATGTTGCGCCCGGGAGACATCGACCAGAGCACTGGGAGGCCGCTAAGAGGGTGTTGCGCTACTTGTGCAGTATGTCGGGCATGGGGCTCGTGCTTGGAGGACGGGGTCGAGTTCTTCTCACGGATCACGCAGACGCGTTTTGGGTTGATGACTTGGCTACATAGCAGTCGTCACAGGGTTACATCTTCAGCATTGGCTCCGGTTCTGTTTCTTGGCGGTCTACGCGCTCGTCTTCTGTTCTCAGTTCCACTTGTGAGGCTGAGATCTACGCAGGGGCCATGGCTGCACAGGAGTTACGCTGGCTCACCTACCTACTGACCGACTTGGGAGAGCAGCTTAGATCTCCTCTAGTTCTGTACGTAGACAACAAGGCCATGATTGCCTTGTGTCAGGAGCACAGACTGGAGCACAGAGTGGAGCACGGGACGAAGCACATTGCTCTGCGTTACTTCCTACATCGAGAGTTGCAGCAGTGTGGTCAGCTTCGTCTTGCTTACGTGGCCACTCGGGCCAACACTGCTGAAATATTCACCAAGGCACTTCAGCCTTGTGATCATCAACGTTTCTGTACTGTTTTAGGCCTTGTGCCTACTTTGCCTCACTTGCATACTTCGTGACTTTGCTTGTATTGTGATCCATATATTTATACCTCCATGTTTACACTTGCTAGGCTGTGATCACTGTACTTGTTGTTCCCATTTATATAACTCTGCATGTGAACTGACCTTGTGGCCTTTTGGTTGTGCTCAAAGTGTGTGTTGACTTCGTGATCCACCATGAGCTTGTTTTTTTCTTGACTGATCTTGTGACGTCTTGTTCTCCCCCATTTTGCCTATGGAGGTGTGTTAAACTGTTATATTGTTGTGTAGGCTGCAGTGGGATATTTTATTGTCAGAGGTCCACTGGTGATCCCCGATTGATCTTAGGGAAGGGTTACAGGCACGTTGGCCTGGGGGGTTATGGGCGCACTCACCCGCTTCACAAACAAGCCATTTTGTCCCAGTGGTTAGTGGCTGGGATTCTGACATGGTATCAGAGCGAAAGACTCGGGTTCGAATCCCAGTTATGCACTTCGGGCATCCCAGGGCGAAGGAGTGTCAGAGGTCCACTAGTGATCCCCGATTGATCCTAGAGAAAGGTTACAAGCACGTTGGCTTGGGGGGTTATGGGCGCACTCGTCGGCTACACAAACAAGCCCTTTTATCCCAGTGGTTAGTGGCTGGGATTCTGACACCTATATGGGGTACAACCCAAATTAGGGTTAACACTTGTATCAAGTTCTTACTCAATACAATCATTCCTGCTCGTTAGTTTTTGATACTGAGGCCCTGCTACTGATTATCCATTGAGGAGGGCGTTCCAAAGCCAAGAACCACGAGTGGAGGATAATTACAAATTAGGTGCGGCAATACCCTGAATTGTGGGAACTGACGTGTCGAGTCTGTCTCTAAACCAGGCTATGAAGAACGCACCAGAGAAGACAGAACTTGGAGAGACTGAGAACGGAACAGAACTTCAGAATCAGTTGTGCCACGTCAGCAGGTACCAAGACTTATGTCTGGTAGAGAGCCTAGGCCACAGCCACTTTTTCTTCCTCTGCGCCATCTCTCTCCCTCTCGGTCTGCAGCTGTGAGCAGAACTCCAGAATCAGCTGTGCCACGTCAGCAGGCCTCTCCACATGGGGGATGTGCCCGCACCCCTGAAGCTGCACCACGTCCCTGCAGTCTGGTAGCTCTGCCTTGAAGCGCTGCAAAAGGGAAAATGGGCAAAGGGAACACAAGTTGTTGGGAGGGAGGGTGTGTTTGCCTTGCACCTCTCCTCATGGGGGATGGGCCTGCACCCCTACAGCTGCACTATGCCCCGGCGGTCCAGCAGCTCTGTTTTGAAGAGCCGCAACTGGGAATCAGAAGAAGCAGACAGAGGAGGGAGCGTGTGCATGGGAGGGCGAATGTGTGCAGGGTCAACGATCCTCTACCAGGCCAGCTTGAATATAATATTGATCTCATGTGCGTGCAGGTTTGGATGCATGCACGTGTTTGTGCATGGGTGGTTGTGTGCATGGTGTGCGTGAGTGAGTGAGTGCGTGGTGTGTGTTGGTGTGGTGTGTCGGGTGAGTGAGAGTACGCATACCTCTGCCAGGCTGGGTTCAAGAATTTCATCCTCGCTCCCCCATACCACTAGGCATGGCTGGGAGACCTGTACATGACCGTTCAAACACATCCACATCCACATGCCCATACCCATGGGATGCAACAAAGAAACAAAGAAAAAAAGAGGGAGTTGGAGGCAAACAAAAGAAAAATGCATAGAAATATCACCTTATTAGACAGCGAATCAAAGTAATCTATACATAACCTCGCCCAATATCTTGAACACATGGTAACCGCATGAGGATATGACACCGGCACCCATCCTTCACATCAGCTACGCCTCTATACTGACGGAACCCAAAGCATCGCATCATCAGACCTCACGTCCCCACTCTCTTCGACACGTGGTAACCACCCGATCGCATGAAATCAACCATTGTGTAAGCCAAATCAGGCATCACGCAGTGCAGGCAGCACAGTCAACTGCCTCTCCATACAGTGCCCATCCTACCCCCTCTCACCTCGCGCACTCTCTTGGACACCTGGTAACCGCCTGAGGGCATGAAATCAACCAGCAACGCCTCTAAGTTGAGGCAGCTAAAAGCGTCACTCACCTCGCGCACTCTCTTGGACACATGGTAACCGCCGGAGCGCATGAAACCAACCATGGCCTCTGCCCGGTCAGGCATCAAGCAGTGCAGATGGCCCAATCAACACCACCATATATTGCCAAGTCTTCGCCCGGTATTGCTGCTCTGCTCCTCTCAGCTCAGCACATCCTTTGAGTCGACTCAAAAGTCACCATCAACACCATCTAGTGACAAGTCTTCGCCCGGTATTGCTGCTCTGCTCCTCTCAGCTCAGCACATCCTTTGAGTCGACTCAAAAGTCACCATCAACACCATCTAGTGACAAGTCTTTGCCCGGTATTGCTGCTCTGCTCCTCTCAGCACATCCTTTGAGTCGACTCAAAAGTCACCATCAACACCATCTAGTGACAAGTCTTCGCCCGGTATTGCTGCTCTGCTCCTCTCAACACATCCTACCCCTCTCACCTCGCCCACTCTCTTGGACACGTGGTAACCGCCGGAGCGCATGAAATCAACCATTGCGTCGGCCCAATCAGGCATCAGGCAATGCAGGCGGCCAACCTGCCATGTGGGTAAGGCGAGGAGAAAGAAGAGAGCTTGTTAGCACAGCCAAAAATCTTGACGCTTTTACTCTCACTCACACTCACTCACTCACTTGCTCACTCACTCGCTCATTAACTCACTCACTCACTCATTCATAGTATTCTCATCTCATCCTTACAGGCCACATGTGCACCTGCACGTACACTCGTTGCATCTTCAATGAACTTCACTGTGCTTTATCATGGAATGCCATTTTAATGGCTGACATGCGCAGTTGCACACGCCCTATCTTTGAGTCACCTTGGGAGTACCCATACACACTCTTTCACTTGCAAACGTACATTCATTGCGTCTTCTGTTGACTGTGTCTTATCATGGAATGCCATCTTAATGGCTGACATGCGCAGCTACACACACTCTCTTTCTCACGCCCACTTGGACCACCAGTGCACAGTATGGCACATGCACTACTGGTAGCGCTACGGGTAAACGTACATTCATTGCGTCTTCAGTTGACTGGGTCTTATCATGGAATGCCATCTTAATTGCTGACATGCGCAGCTGCACACTCTTCAGCAGAGCTACCTGCGAGCATTCCCAAGGGCCGTCACACACACGCATAGAAACACACATAGTCACACAGGAAAACACAAGAAGAACACAGACATGGAAAGACAGGCACGCAGTGAGCTCTCATGTCACACAGCTGGTGCCCCATCTACCAGGCTAAGCATTCCTGAGCAAAGCCCTACCATACATACCTGCGAGTACTCCCAGGAGCGCTAGCATACATACTGTAGCATACACAAGGAAGTTCTGCAGGAACCTTCTCAGGGCCGCGATGGCCCCACGCACAGATCAACCAGGCAAGACAGGCGAGCCTAGGAGAGCCAGTCTCAGCAACCCCAAACTGACTTTTGAGTCGACTCAAAAGGAGAGCCAGTCTCAGCAACCCCAAACTGAACTAAATGCAACTCACCCAGCGTACGCCAGGAACTTGGGCAGGGCGGGGAATGGACCGACGCCCTGTGCGTCTGACAGGCAGGCGAGCATACGCAGGTGGTGGCATCTGACAGTCCAGCCAGGAACAAAAGACTCACCCCAGCATATGCCAGGAACTTTGGCAGCGCGGCAAGAGGGCCCACGCCCTCCTGAAACGCCTGTGCGTCCAGCAGGAGGAGACCTGCTGGCTGGAGTGGTGTTTTAGGAGGCGGGAGGAACAGGAAGAGTGGGAAAGATGACCAAACAGGGAAGGTGGGTGTGTGACTGTGCAGCAGCGAGAGGACCAAACAGGGAAGGTGGGTGTGTGACTGTGCAGCAGCGAGAGGACCCACGCCCTCCTAAAACGCCTGTGCGTCTAACAGGAGGGGCACTGCTGGCTGGAGTGGTGGGCAGGTGGGAGCAAAGAGGAGAGGGGGAAAAGTTTGGGGAAAGGGGAACACGCAGTGAGCATGAGTGGGACTGCGCAGCATCGAGAGGGTTTCACGCCCTCCTGAAATGCCTGTGCGTCCAGCAGGAGGAGAGCTGCTGGCTGGAGTGGTGTTTGCAGGGAGGGGGAAGGATAGATGGAGCAGGACAGCAGGGAGAACAGCTGTGTGACTGTGCAGCAGCAAGAGGTCCCACGCCCTCCTGAAACGCCTGGGCGTCCAACAAGAGGAGAACTGCTAGCTGGAGTGGTGATTGGGTGAGGGAGAGGAGGGAAAGAAAGCAGGGGGGAAATGGGAACGAGCAGGGAAGCTGGCCTGCCTGAGCAGCAGCAAGAGGGCTTGCTTTCTTCTTCAATTGTCAAGAGAGTGCAACAGAACTGTGCCAATGAACACACACACACACACACACACACACACACACACACACACGCACGCACGCACGCACGCACGCACACACACACACACACACACACACACACACACACGCGCGCACGCACGCACGCACGCACACACACACACACACACACACACACACACACACACACACACACACACACACATACACTATGGGAAGTAGAGTATTATGACTAATACAAACAAACCGTACCACATCGGGATGGTTCACAGCGAGGTCGATGGCAGCAGCACCCCCGAGGCTAGGACCAACCAGCAGAGCCGGGCGGCCCCCTAGGTGTTGCCGCCAGAACTGCAAGGGGAGGGAACAGCAAGGAGAAGACCGGGCATGAAAGTCGTTCGGCTTGAAAACAAGGCAGCAGGGCCGGACGGCCCCCTAGGTGTTGCTGCCAGAACTGCAAGCAGAGGGAACAGCAAGGAGGAGGCAGCGCATGAAAGCTGTTCGACTTGAAAACAAGGCAGCAGAGCTAAGCGGCCCAATAGATGTTGCCGCCAGAACTGCAAGCAGAGGAGACGGGAAGGAAATGACAGGAAATAGCATTAGTCCATCTCGAAGGGAAGGCGGGAGGGAGGGCTGGTTGGCCCCCTAGGTGTTGCCACCAGAAATGAAAGGGACGGGAAAGAGAGCAACGAGGTAGCAGCATTAGTTCGCCTGAACAGCTAGGATTTCGAGCAGTGAGGGCTAAGGGCGTTACCAGGCTAATGTGCAGGAGAAAAGAGCAGGGGGAGGAGATTGGTACCAAATTCATTCAGGTGTTAGCTGGTGCAGGCAGTACCTGGTGCAGGAAAAAACCGGTCCAGGCAGTACCTGATTCAGTTCAATAAATACTAGTGCAGGCAGCATTACTTAGTGCAGGTGGTACCTGGTGCAGGCAGTACCTACCTGGTATAAGTGCTCCCTCTTGGCATCCACGGAGAAGGACTGGATTCCCCGCTCTGCCATCACACGTAGTGGTGGGATGGTGGGATGGCGGAGAGACAGACAGTAAGCACATGCAGTGAGAAGGACTGCATTCCCCGCTCTGCCATCACACGTGGTGGTGGGATGGTGGGATGGTGGAGAGAAACAGAGGAAATGTTATGAACAACTGCCTCTGGAGAGAAAGAGAGGAACAGTACAATGTGAGGGATGATGAGGCACCAATGCTTTGACAATAGAACAAGAATAATCATGATAACAAAATAATAATAATCATAATAAAAACTTTGGACTCACCCTTGGTGGTGCCTGAGAAGCCCCAGCCCAGAGTGTCCACCGCCCATGGCTCTGCTCCGTGCTGCTGGAACAAGACAGTGCCAGCAAGCCACCCAATCAGCACACCACTGAAACCCCTTTCCTCACCCTTGGTGGTGTCGGAGAAGCCCCAGCCCAGAGAGTCCACTGCCCATGGCTCTGCTTCATGGTGCTGCGGCATAAGATGAGCAGCAAACCACCCTATCAAGCACACCACTGAAACCCCTTTCCTCACCCTTGGTGGTGTCTGAGAAGCCCCAGCCCAGAGTGTCCACCGCCCATGGCTCCGCTCCCCCCTCCTCCAGGCGCTGATACACCCGCCGCCACTCCAGGCATGAGCTGGCAGCAGGGGCGGGAAGGCGGTGGGGGAGAGGAGTGAAAGACCATGAAAGGTCTTGACTGGGATACCATGCTCCTCCCTCTTCCAGGCGCCCATGGACCCGCCGCCACTCGAGGCATGAGCTGCATGGGAGGAGTTGACTTTTGAGTCGACTAAAAATGAATTTTGACTTTTGAGTCGACTCAAAAGTCATCCAGGCGCCCATACACCCGCCGCCACTTCAGGCATGAGCTGCACGGGAGGAGAAGGGGCGGGAAGGGGGGGACGAAGGTAGGAGGACCGGGGTAAAGGTGGGGAGAGTAACGGACACTTGCTCCTCTCCTCCCTCCTCCAGTCGCTCATACATCCGCCGCCACTCCAGGCATGAGCTGCACGGGAGGGGAAGGGAAGGGGAGGTGGATGGAGGGAGGAGAGGAGTGGGGAATAGCCTACTGATGAGTCTCAATGATCCTCCCTCCTCCAGACGCTGATAGACCCTCATGGTCCTCATGACCCTCATGGTCCTCACCTCATGACCCTCATAGACTTCACTGAAACGCACCTGGCCTCACTGGCTTTACTGACACGTCAGAAACGGATCTCATTGGATCAGTTGACTCGTCCGAATTCGGTCCCAAGAACTCGACTGACCTGTCAAATCCGTGGAAGAGCAGGATGGGGACGGCTGTCTGGCCGGCGTTTTTTGGCACGATGCAGCCGCTCATGATTGGTTCTGAAGCAAGGTTGGTCTGGGTGGCAGGGGAGGGGAGGGGTGGGGAGGAGCGGAGGGGTGGGGAGGAGCGGAGGGGTGGGGAGGAGCGGAGCGGAGGCGGAGGAGAGAGGAGGAAGTAAGTACGAGTAGAGGAACAAGGGATAGGACCAGAGGAGACGGTTGGGTTGGAGGGTGGGGAGGAAGGGAAGGGAGGGAGGAAATCAGGGAAAAGGAGGGGAAAGCAAAGGCAGAGAGAAAGGGGGAAGGAAGGGTAAGGAGAGAACAGAGGGGAAGGAAGAGGTTATGAGGTCAGCAAGGGAGGGGTTGGAAGTGACATGGAAGAAGTTATAAGATGTAAACTGAGAATGGATCTCGACGGCATACATCCGATGGAATCGATCGTATGCCTTCTCCTATGCGTCCAATCCATTCCACTACCTCCCCACACCTGCAATCTGTCTCGTCACCTGCATCATCAACATCATCTATACCTCTCCTCACCTGCGGCAATCTTCACAGCCTCAATACCTCCTCTCACCTGCACCAGTGCCTACAGCTCCCCTATGCAGCAATCCTTAGAAATATTTACGCCAATACCTCCCCCCACCTGAAGCAATCCGTAGGAGCATCGACGCACTCACCTGTACTGGCAGCCTCTGAACGCGCCGTGCCAGCTGGCGAGCCGCCTCCTCTTCAAGCTCCGTCACTTGCGGCGGCAGAAACGCCGGAAATTCCGTGGTTTCCTCTCGTGGTTCGATGGACGGAGACGTGGCAACGCCATTGCCGCTGCGCGCCTCGGACTCCAAGCTTGCTGACACGCTCACTCTCCTGTAGCCGCTATTTCTGTTAACTCTGTAATTTATGTTTGTACCCTTATTTCTGTGAACATGGCTTATGCTAAGCGGATGGGGAGCCAATAACGGAGATATCTGAATTGGTGACTGTAACGAAGCCCGACGAGACCCGCCATGCGCGTCTTGTCGCACGGCGAGCCTGCTCGTAACGGCAGCCTGCGAGTACGAAGCAATCGCAGCCATATTAAAAGGCCTCTAAACAGCGTGTTTTAGCACCTGACGATTGAGCGACTCGAGACTGTCAGGAATGCATCAGGGAGTCAGATTTAGTAGCGGTGGAGAATCTGTTTGTGCTATATTTTTTCTTCAAGGCATCCCACGCTACCGAGCTTTATTGAAGCGAAGCGAATGCAACCGAAGACAACTGAGATGACTTTCCTGATCACTACACAGCGACAAGGACGATGCACTTCGACAGGTGACAATGCCGAGGGATGACTTGATTGGTACTATGGAATAAGCCGCTCATCACTCGCCACGTCAATTGCATGTCATCAGCAACACCAGGGCCGCTTTTCTTCGCAAAAATCACAGCTTCACCGTCTGAACCCAGCAATTCATGTAGTACTGAACCCAAATGGAAAACTGCAACTACCCGCGAGGTTTTTGATGCTGGGTGGTACTTCGGTATTCTGAGTTCAGCATCCCGTTTATGTTCCGAGTGCGCGTGAAAAAAACCCAACTGATGGTGAACTTCACACAACGAACGGAGGCAGAACACGCTGTACCTTCCCTGCGAGGCTTCATTCTACACGGCAGCACGCAATTCCGCCGAGGTGGGTGAGAGCAATCTCTCTCTCCAATCCGCTACGTTCCCGCGCAGCTTTAGGAGAGCCACTCATCCCTTCAGAATGTCGCCGCCACCGCAGCAGACTTGCGTGCTCCTGGTGAGCAAAAGCACAACAAACATCCACTACGTTTCAGTGCGTTTCAATGCGTTCCACACGGTAAACGGGGAATGTTTAACACTAACGCTCTAGATCGCTTCGCACCGAACACGACATTGATCGTCAGTCTCTGTTCCCCACAAACCGCAGCTCTATCAGTTCTCTCCACTAACCTCCCAATTCACTTCCAGAATCTGGATTTCTCCCTCATGCACAGCCGACTCCTTTTTCAGCTTCAACTTCCTCCTCCATTCCGCTGTCTTTTATTCATGTCCCCCCGTGAACCAGTGCCGAAGCAGATTTTTCCGTGAACGATGCGCGTTTTTGCTCTGGATTGCTAGGCTGGTTCCACGTTGCCCACTACGCCTCGTTCTCGTTGCTGGTTGCTGTTCCTCATGGCGACTTCCAGTACCTTAAAAGAGCTGGTCCGCGTTTCTCATCCTCGACCTCTAGCTTCGCAACGCCCTAGCTTGGTTCACAATCACAACGCTCTAGTCTGCTTGACTCATAACCACAATTCTCCCAAAACATATCATGTATCGCTGTCGCATCGGCACGGCTTGAAAATTGGAACAACTAGAAAGGTTTCAAAGAATTTATCCTTTGTTCAAGCGACAGCATCGCGTGTGAGGTGCCACGTAGCGATTCCTGCGGACGTGAGCTCCGACAACGGCTCTTCAACTTCTGCCAAATCTCGTCGGAATCCATCAGTCATCGACGCCGATGATTCACATTCCCTCGCCGGGGGTTTCGCCGTGCCAGCTCACGAAACAGATGGACTCGTTGCCGGTTCGGTCCATGTGTATGGCGAAAAGCTCGAATTCAAAGGCGGAAGGCTGGCAGGAGGAAGCGCGGGAAGCAACCCGCGGGGACCTCGATCGCACGAGGAGATTCGCGAGCGGATAGCGTTGGAAAGGGCACGGCGGCGCGCAACGGACCGGCAATCTACCGCTCTCGTCCGCGCGCTGACGTGGGCTCTGCGAGGCGTGGATGACGTGGCAGCGGTGGATGCGGTTATGGCTGTCGCGGAGGAGGAAGGCGAGGAGGTGAACGCGCGAGTGGTATCTTCCGTGCTGCAAAAACTCGGCATTGAACGCCGAGTTGGTGCTGCGCTGGCGGTTTTCCATTGGCTGCAGCGTGCTTCTGGTTCCGAGACTGTCAGAAGCGGCACTGCAAAAACCGGTACGCCTGACTTTGAAAAAAACAGTCACGCACAGGAACAAGCAGTTTTTGAACAAGAGGAAGGAAGAAAAAGAGAGACTGAGGGGAGATGGAAGGGACTTTCTGAGCCGAATGTGTACACGTACAATAGCTTGTTAGGAGCACTAAAAGCCAGCGGGGAATGGACACGGATGGAGGGTGTAGTGGAGTGGATGTCAGCCAATGGCGTGGCGCCAGATGTCGTCACTTTGAATACTCTCCTGTCAGCTTTGGAAACTCAAGGCAAGGACGAAGCAGCGTGGAACCTTCTCACAAAATTCGGCATTCAGTACTCGTTTCACAAGCCACGGCGGACCGCTGATGCTCAAAGCAAGCCGTTAGAGAGCAAAGCTTCAGAGAACAAGAAGCACGATCCGAATCCGCAGAGCAATTTGCACGAGCCGACTCCCCATAGCACGCTACGCGATGCCGCAACGGTCCCGCAGCATCTAGTGGCCGCGTCCGCGCCCACCAGGGCCGCGGAGTCCGTGGAGGGATGGTGTGTGCGGCCGGACCTGTTCACTGTGCGCACCGTGCTGCCTGTGTGCCGCAGAGGACGGGTGGTGGAACGAGCGCTGGCATTGTACTCTCTGGCTCTGGAGTCAACGGGCCCTGCTAGTGGCAGCGGTAGCAGTAGCAGCGGCAGCAGCAGCAGGAGTGAGGGGAGCAGCAGAACTGTAGCCAGAGGAAGTGGGCGGAGTGGGAACTCCCGGCAGCAGCAGCAGCATCGGGAGGTGGCAGCTGCGTTGAGGTTTGCTTGTAACGAGGAGATGAAGCAAATAGTTGCTGCACTGGAGCGACAGGTGGACGGAAACCGTCAAGCAGACGGAAACTGGCAGGCAGACGTTCACGTGCAGGCAGGGAAGGCCGAACAGACAAGGACCGGTAGGGCAGCTGCAATGGCTGCCACTACAATGAAGGGGATAGCCGTAGGCGCAGTTGTAGAGGCAGCGTCAGGTGTGGGGGGGAGAGAGGGAGGAGCAGGGCGAAATGATGTAGCTGCTACTGGTGTAACAGCGACAACGGTCGGAGTAGCAGCGGTTGCTGGCAAAACAGCTGCAGCTGGGGCCACCAGGCGCGATTCTGCTGTTGTGATAGATGAGGGAAAAGAACAGGAGGAACAGGAGGAGCGGGAGGAGCGGGAGGGGGAGGAAGCGGAGGAGGAGCAGGAGGAACAGGAGGAGGAGGAGCAGGAGCACGGACAAGGGCAAAGAGCAGGGAGTAAAGGGGCAGGGGATGGCACGATGAGGCACGACAAGGCAGGTACTTCTAGAGTGCTGTGGCTGCTGGATCAGATGGAAAGGGTGGGGATAGAGGCGGATGCGGACACGTACCGCTTGGCCCTGCACGCTTGCTGCCTCGACGACCTCGTGGGCCATGCTAAGCCCGTGGGCATGGGCAGTCCTAAGGGTGCAGGTATGGGTCACCGTAGGCATGGGCATGGGCACGGGCACGGGCATGGGCATGGGCACGGGCAAGGAACTTGCAGGCAGCGGGAAATCCGCACTCTCTTTGCTGCCATGCGCAGCCATGGGTTCGTCCCTGGTCTGAACACGTGTCACGAGGTGATTGGCGCCCTTGGCAGGGCGAAAAAGTGGTGGGCAGCACTGGAAGTTCTCGAGTCGATGAAAACTCAGGGGCCTGCGCCGACCGCTGCCACAGAAAGGCTCATCCGCGGGCACTTTAACATTTTGCTGACAGCTGCCCGGAAGCGCGGGCTATGGAGGTGGGCTCTTTCTCTTCTCGCCAAGATGGAGTCTGCAGGGCTCCCACCAGACGCCTTTGCATGGCGCACGGCGCTCGTAACCTGTGCAAAGGCTAACGAAACTGCTTCCGCCATCAAAGTTTTCGAGGATATGGTGGAGACGGGGGTCCGGGCGGATGCAGTGGCGTACGGCGCTTTGCTAAGTGCGCTGGAGAAAGGGGATTTGTTGGAACCAGCGGAGGCGGTGTGGGGGCATATGAGGAAGATGGGTGTTGAGCCGAACAGGCAGGCATACACTACTATGATTGTTGCGCTGGGGAAGAGAGGGGAGTACGGGCGAGCTGCAGCCCTGTTTGAGGAGCTTCAAGGGACGGCTAGCAGTGGCAGCAGCAGCAGCATCAGTGGTGGGAGCAGCAGTAGCGAGGCTGCTCTGTCCCAGCAGGGGGAAGCAGGGGAGGAGCTGGTTGCTGTTCGGGTGCACAGCAGGCAGGATGGAACACCAGCACCAGTCGCTGCTCACAGAGAACGCCACCTGGGTGCTGACGTGGCGGCATTCAATGCGATGGTGACGGCTTGTGCACATGCTGGAGAAGGGCTGAGGGCGCTGGACTGGCTGCAGAAGGTTAGTAGTGAATTTTGTTCTTGTTTTCCCCTTCAGTCTACCGTACTCCAAATCATCCAAATGCTGGAGAAGGGCCCGCTGAACTGGCTTGTGAGAATTCTCAAAAGTAAAATCCACATAGATGAACTGGCTGCAAAAGGCAAGTGAAAATGTTGTTCCTGGTTTTCTTCATCACTGAATGTTTCTCCCCATCTTCATCACTTCCCAAGTGCCATTTCATCCCCGCACTTCATTATTGCACGGCCCTTGTGTCACATAAGGAGGTGACCCATGTGTGCCCTCACTTCATGGAAGATGTTACTCACTTCATGGAAGATGTTTCAGTGATGTCGCTCCCTCCCAACCCAATTGCCAATTCACTGCCCACTGCCCCCTTACCAGCATCCAACAGTGCATGCGCTGACCATGTCCGGTTTGAATCATATTCCATGCTTTTTTTTCTTCTTCCTCAAATTTCCTTTTACAGATGGAGGTATCATCTGCCACTCCACCAAACGCCACCACCTACCAGCAAGCTGCTATCGCCCTGGCTGATGCCAGTCACTGGGAGGCCGCCCTGTCCCTTATTCCACGAGCACGCTCTCGGGGAATTGAGCCCACGCCTTTGATGTTTGAGGTGGTGCAGCGAGCTTGTGCCGCCAATGGGGTGGTTTTCGCATCACAGTTGGCAGTTGTTTCAAACCCTCACGCAGATTTGGTTGGCGGTGCGAAGAGTTTATGCTAGCAAAGAACCCGTGGATGCTGCTTTGCAGTTGAGAACATGAAGTCAAGCTTTATTAGAGATATTGCAAATACACTCTGCTTGACCTTTCTCTCCCAATATCAATGTGTTCTCAACGATTTATTATAGCGAGAATTCGCCTTACGCCAAACAGAAGAAGTGACTGAAAGGTTCATTCGACTGGTGGAATTGCACGATCGCGTACAGGCCCGCCCGCCACCGCTCGCTTTGGACAGGTGCACACCAGCTATTGCTGAGCTGGACAGTCCCTAGGCCAATCGCCTTGCCGCACAAAGGAACGTCGCTCAAAACCTCGATATTTGTTGTCGAGTTTCGGGTTTGACACAACAAGCGGTGACAAGCAGTCGCCGTAGGTGTCGGTCGGTAGCTGATCCAGTTACCTCTGTCGCTTTCCCGTAGAGCGGTGCCTAACCGACCGTCTGCGACTACATACGATGAAGTGCGACGTGCTACCGCCCTGTCGCAAAGAAGAATGCCTTGCGAAAGCGACACTTGTCGTGTTCATCCAGTTCAGGTTTTCCGTTGGCCAATAAAAACACAGTAGTTGCTCTCCCTCGAAGTTTTCGTCCGCCGATGTGACAGTCCGCCACACTCCGCCGTTCCGCCATTCTGCCAAGGCTTCCCTTCTTCACATGCTCCGCCCCGCGCATCCCAGATTCGTTCCGCGTCCACCCAACAAGAACCAGACAACCCCTAGGCCGCGATGGTTTTGGTTGGTTGGTTGGCCATGCCATGGCCGAGTCTCTCCGTCTGTTCGTCGTTTCGATGAGATGGGATGGGAGATGGATCATGGATAGTGTGCGGGGGGCGGGGAGGAGTGGGGGGGTGGTCTGGATGGTTGTGTTGGTGTGCGTTCTCCGACCATCCCTCAGCTCCCCAGCTCCTCCCCATCTGACCCTGTTTTTGGTGTAGCTGAGAGTTTGGGCGCCCTTAACGGTCACGGGCGCACCCCAAAGTGAAAACTTAAAATCCGGGCCTGTGAAGAGTTTGCACTTAGACGAATTTGGGTGCTCTAAAGCTGACTTTCAAACACGGGATGGCTAGAAAACGCTAAGGGAAAAATCCACTCCTCTCGTGCAACCTCAGGAGAAAGGGGGGGGAGGGGGGCACTTAAAGACGCTAAGGGAAAATTCGGGTGCTCCAAGCTGACTTAGACACTTTACTAACGCAGGATGGCTAGAAAATGTTAAGGAAAAAATCCACTCCTCTCGTGCAACCTAAGGAGAAAGGGGGGGGGGGGCGGGGGGGGACACTCAGACGCTAAGGGGAAATTCGGGTGCTCCAAGCTGGCTTAGAAAACGCTAAGGGAAAATCCACTCCTCTCGTGCAACCCAAGGAGGAAGGGGGGCGGGGGACACTTAGACAATAAGGGACAATTCGGGTGCTCCAAGCTGACTTAGACGCTTTACAAACACAGGATTGGCTAGAAAACGCTAAGGGAAAAATCCACTCCTCTCGTGCAACCTAAGGAGAAAGGGGGTGGGGTCAGGCAGAATTTGGGGGGGTGGTGGGTCCTACAACCAGAAACCAAAACTTCGAGACAGGGGAAGGCCTGGTTTAGGCCCTTAACGCATCCGGGGAAGGGTCGAGCGCGGCACTTAGTGGCACGGGTGCAGTACGAATCTAACACTTTTGGCAGTCGAGCTGGAGCGAAAGTATCCCGGAATGTTCAGGGCATTAAGGGCATATGCCCTTGAATCGACAGGCCTGGTCACGACTCACCTCACTGGACCACCTCAGAAGATTTGAGAGAAGAGAGCAGAGTAGACAGAATGGAACCCTGCACGATGCTTCTGTGTGGTTAGGAGGTTCTTGCACTGCCATTCACCCTGCACCGCTTTTCCCTGGCCTTGCCTACACGGCTACGGACTCGACGTTCTGAAAAGAAAGTGTATCTAACGAGCAAAATGGTTCTCCTAACCTAGCCTTTCAGTTCTTAGTAGTTACTGCCAGCTTCGACTGTAGTTGACGGACTGAATCAGACAGCCAGTATCAGTCAAGGTCCTGACGGACTCGAGCCCTATGGCGATTGCGGTTTCTCAAATCAGAAAGGTCGCCGCGGCAGTAGCGGATGAGCAATGGGGCGACGACCCTCCGCCGCTGAATTCCTACTTACCTCCTTACGCCCCGCCTCCCACCCCCGCCCTAACGTCCAAATCGGTATTTTCTCCCAGCATACCGCAACGAAGCTTCCCTCCTCCGCTAATGTCAGAACTCGCGTTCTCTCCTCGCTCCCGCAACTCCGACGTTTTCCCTCCGGCGTTCCTCGAAAGGCAGTCAACCACGACGAGCTCCGTCAAGACCGCTCAGAACTCCGAAGAACCGCAATCGGAACTGCCGCTTCTCCTTTTGCGGCCAGACCCTAACGACGCTGAGCAGATGAACGAGGACCGGCAACTGTGCGACACGGTGCGAGCAATGCAGCTCCAGCGATTCCTCGACGACTGCCTTGCGAGCGCCGTCGCGTCGCAGACGCCAATCGTCGGTAGCACTTCACACCCCGCTCCGCTTCTCCCGGGTCTCCCTCCCGTCGCATTCAGCACGTCCAGCTGTAACAGCGAGCCGTCGGATGGCAGCCGCGTTTTGCTTCATTCGCCGTCGCTGTCGCACGCGCCGTCGCAGGCGCCGTCGCAAGCGTCGTCCAGGGAGAAACAGAAGCAGGGTGGCGATTCCCGGCCGGTGTCGCCACGTCATGCGCACGGCGAGTCGCTCATGGATCAGGTCGACGAAGATTGGATTCGCGCGCAGGCCGCGAAACAAGCCCGCGCGTCTTCCGCCGCAGCAGACGACGGCGGAAACTATGCTTTTAGTGGGGGGAATGGCGCTAGTGGGGAAACCGAAGCGAATGAAACGACCAGGGAGAAAGAGGAGGGCGTAGCAGGTCAATCCACGTGTCATAGAAAGGAAGTCTCTGGGAATCCTGGGCACGAGAGGCCCAGCCATGGCAGTCGCGCGAGCAGCATAAGTAGCGGAGGAGTCGGAGCACTAGATTGGGTAGCAGGCAGCAGTATGAACGCGTCTAGTAACAAGTCTTCCCCCGGACTTCCCGGGGATGACTCTCAGCATCCCGCCATTCCCCCCTCCGCTCCCGCCTCCGCCCTCTATCGCGAAAAGCCCTCCGCTCCCCCCGCGTTCGCCTTTCCCCAGGCGCAGCCTTCCCCGGGAAACGCCGCTGGTGAATTAAAACCGCTCCGCCCACCCCCCGGCGCGTACAGGCGGTCAGGTTCGATGGCTGACGTGGACAAGGGGAAAAGTGACGTGTTAAGCGCTAGGGTAACTGAGCGACAAAGCTCGCTGAAAATGTCGTCGTCGTCGGTTGAAGTTCCAACCCTGAGGCGTTTGGCAGACGTCGCAGGCGACACAGGCAACGTCGCGAGGCCCGAAGACGTGATCTGGAAGAATCTTATCGCGTCCGCTCAGGTACACAACCGCGAGATTTCCGGGCTCCGCGAGGTGTCTTGTAACGCGAACGAGCGAGTTAGAAGCGGCAACAGTGCGTGTGACAGTAGCGAAGGTCTAGGCTCGTTGAGCGCGAAACGGAAACCGGTACCGGTGCTCGAAGGTTTAAAGGAGGTGGAGGAAGAGGGAAATGCTCCCCCGGTAACCCCTCGAGAGGAAGCTTCGCGCGAAATAACACCCCGACCTTCCACTGCTCAAGAAGTTTCCCGCGAGATAACGCCTCGTCCCTCCACTGCTGCTACTGACGTTGCCTCTACCCCAACCACTGACGTTCCTTGGACTCCGACTTTTGAGCGAGACGGGGCCATGCCGCCTCCCACGCCGCAATCGGCGGCGGAGGCAGCGGCGCAGAGGGCCGCGCGGAAGGCGGCGCAGGGGTCCTGCATTCCGCCGAGGGCGCAGTCCCCGCGGAGGCACAACAGCGGGCTGTTCCGCAAGCAGGGCTCCGGAAGGCTTGATGGGTCGCAGAGACAGGGGTCGGGGAGGCTGGATGGGCTGCAGAGGCAGGGATCGGGGAGGGGGCTGGCGGGACTGGCTTCCGCCGCAGCGGGCGCAGCAGCGGGGGCAGGCGCGGGGGCGGGTAGGAGGAGCATCTCGCGCATGTCTTCCGTTAAGAAATGGCGGGTGCTAAACGCGCTAGTAAAGCAGATGAACGTAGAGGATGCGGAGAACGAGACTGCTGACGACGGGAACGGCGGCGCCGCCGGCGATGGCGGGGGCGGGGGCGGTTTCACGGCGACTGAAACGCATTCCGGGGCGATAAAGTCTGAGTCGGATAAGAGCGGGTGGGGCGCGCCGAGCTTCTCAGGAATGAGCGTTGGGGGGGATACGGAGGGCGGAGGGGGCGGGCAGACAGAGGAATTCAGCGCCCCCTGGAGTTTCGGCAGTATGGGGGATGTAGAGCGGTTCAATAACACCGCAGGGGGCGGGTTCGCGGATTATAGCGTGGCAGCTGCTAGCGTGTGCCAGGTTTCCCCGGCGATTTTCGAGGCGCACTTGCATTTGGCGGAGACCATGGCTAGGGAGGAGATGGAGAGGCAGCAGCAGCAGCAGCGGCAGGAGGGGCGGCATGGCAAGGGGCCAAGAACGCCGAGAACACCGAGAACTCCGAGGGTGGGTGGACGGGGTTTGGTGTGATGCAGTGCGGTTGGATGCAGTGGGTTTGTGGTGGAGGAGGTTTGGTGCAGTGCATTCACTGTTCCCTTTGCCCGTCCGTTTTCTTTTCCTAGCTCCTGCTCTCCTTCCGTGCTTCCCTATCCCCAACCTGCATACCTCATCGTCACTCCGTCAAACTCCTCCCAACCCCCCACATCCTCTCCCTTACACTCTCTTCCTGTTTCTTCCTCATTCTCCCCCTCTCGTCCTCGCTCCCTCAGGGTATGGGCTTCCGCAGCAACTCGCGCAGCAGCTCCCGCCGCCAGCAAAAGAGCAGTAAGTGCTGAGTGTGCATGGCTTGCAGAGAGTAGGAGTGAGAGGGTGCATTGCTTCAAGAGAGTAGGAGTGTGAGGGCATGGCGTGCAAAGAGTAGGAGTGTGAGAGCAGCAGCGAATTGCAAACATGCCGGTTTCTCTTCACCTGATTAGAACCTTCTGGAGCCTCTCTTATGACCCTCCATGCACCCCATGACTTCGACCCTCTTTTAACCCACCTTTGACCTCCTTTGACCCACCTGTGACCAACCTTTGACCCTCCTTGATCCTCCGTTGACCTTCCTTGGCCCTACATTTGACCCTCATTTGCCCTCACCATGCATGTGCACCATGGCTTTGACCTTCCTTTGACCCTCCTTTGACCCTCCTTGACCCTATTCTGAACTGCCTTTGACCCATTTAACCTCCTCCGACCCTCCTTTGACCCTCACTTGTCCCTCACCATCCAAGCATCCACCCAACTACTCCGCCCCTCCTCTGGCAATGTGCTGTGCACTCAACTCTTTCACTCTACGCTCTCCAACCTCTCCCTTTTTTCCTCCAAATGCTCCCATCATCTTCACACCCATCTCCATTACTGCTCCCACTACCCCCAGCCTGGGTCCTGGGAACCCCACCACGTGTCAGTGCGAGCAGCTAAGGTCAATCGCACCATAAGCCACAAGGCTTTTACCTCACCCTTGTGTTATTCCCGCCTTACCTTCATACACGATCTCCCTTCGATCCCTGTCCCATCTCTCCAAACCCTACCCCCCAGCCTGGGACCCCCACCATGTGTCAGTGCGGGCAGCCAAGGTCAATCGCATAGCCTGCACTCTACCCTTGTGTCATTTCCGCTTTTGATATCCCCCTTCGTTCCAACCCCCTCCCCATCGATTCAACCTCCTCCCCCTCCCCTTGTCCCTCCCTCCTTCTGCCTGGGACCCCCACCGCATGTCAGTGTGAGGCGCCAAGGCAAGTGAGCCATTGGCCATGTGCCATGCAACCCACCCTTGTGTTATTCCCTCATCTGCCTTCCAATACCCCCCTCCATCTTTCCTCCCATCCCTGCCACTACCCCACCAGCCTGGGACCCCCACCACGTGTCAGTGCGGGCGGCCAAGGTCAAGAGAGCCATCGGCCACGTGTTCTGTTACCTCCCTCCCCCCCCCTCCTTACCCTCCATTTTCTCCTTTTGTTCCCCCTCCCTATCCCTCCAAACCCCTTCCAGCCTGGGACCCCCACCACGTGTCAGTGCGGGCGGCCAAGGTCAAGCGAGCCATCGGCCACATAGTCACCAACCTATCCTGGGTCATTTCCCCCAGTATCTTCCAGTATCTCATTCGTTTTCCTTCCCTCCCTCCCTCCCTCCCTCATTCTCATTCCCCCCCTCCCTCATTCTCATTCCCCCCCTCACTCATTCTCATTCCCCCCCTCCCTCATTCTCATTCCCCCCCTCCCTCATTCTCATTCCCCCCCTCCCTCTTCCAGCCTGGGACCCCCACCACGTGTCAGTGCGGGCGGCCAAGGTCAAGAGAGCCATCGGCCATGTATTTCGAAAAATCGCCGCCAAGCCACTGGGTTTCCTGCGCAAACTGAATCCCGGTGAGCAATTTATCCCCTCACCTCGAAACACCGCAGTTGTTTGTTCCGAGTTTCACCTCTATCCGTGACGCCGGGCCTTTCGCGCAAACTCAATTCCGGTAAGCCTTTTCGGACCACAGTTCAAAACACCTCATATGTGTGCCCAAAATTTCACCGCAAGCTGCTGAGCTTTCTGCGCAAACTCGGCCTCGGAAATCCTTTTCTCCCCATCTTTCCCCTTCGTTTTTGTGGCCATTGTTAGTTTGCATGCTAATGCTGTTCTTCTGTTATGTTCTGCCTCTGGCCTTACTCTCCATGAGCTGATCCCATATGACGCATCGTGTGTACTTGTCCCTCCCGTTGTCGATACTGCTTTATCTTTCGCTCTCGTTTCCTCCCTCATCCCCTCCCTCTCACTTTCCTCCTTATCACATGTCCTGACTTATATATATCCTCTTCCCCTGCGGCCTCCCCTGTGTTGACCAGCGTGCCGGGCTACGTGAATGTGCATTTATGCCTTTCTCAATCAACGCGGTTACAAGTATATTGCCTTGTTTACCTCCATACATAGACATCAAGGCATGGTTTGAAGGTGCCAGCCGTGAGTTCATTTCGTGTCAACTTGCGGACAAAGGACTTAGATTTTGGCGGCATTAGGCAGGCAGAGTCATTCAGAACTCGTTTGACCGCGATGGCACTCTATAGGGTTGCAATACTTGTAGAGTTGAACTGATACTGGTACCACGGAAAATTCGAAGCAGCTGTGTCGTCAGATACTAGCATTTGATACTGTGTCTGCCTTTTCTGGCCTCTTATTTTGCATGATGGAAAGTACACGGTATCTTAACCCTTCTTCATGGATTTGCTAAGGATTACGTATTGTTCTTTGTTGTGGCTGTTTGTCTATTGTACATTTGCCTTACAAAAAGTTGTTCAGAAGGTGGTTGGTACCTGTTACGGAACGCTACTGGTGGTAACAACCAGGCAACTTACACGCTGGAAAGAGATGAACTGGCACTTGTAGTGCTGTTTTCAGAATACTAGATTAGACTCTGCATCTACTATGTCCTCTACACTATCATATCATACAAAGTACCATAGCTTACATCGCACAACTGTCCCATGCATTACATCGCGGGCTGTGCGGCTTCTGTAAGACTGCTTGTAGAAAACTTGCAGCTTATTCAGGCTTTCTTTGTCTTCCCTGTTCGCGACAGTACTTCAAGTTCATGAGTTATGTGGCAGCAGATATGGGTACTGGTGAAATTATGTACACTGGCGGGCGGGGTAAGGTGATGCGCGCACGGGGCGTGTCTGGTCGCTTTCGATAATCTCCCTGGGTACGGAATTATTCTGGGGGTTCCCTGGTAGTTTCCACGGGGGAATTTCTTTGGGGAGCAAGTGTGGTGAAGCAGGCAATCTGATTCCCTGTGGGTCACCGATGCGGGCGGCGGGAGAAGAGCAGGGCGACGCAGCAGCAGAGGAGGAGCGACCCCAGGAGAGCCTGCAGGGGAGAGATGCGGAGAGGAGGTATTGATTGGGGGAAAATGATACGAGTGGAGAGTGTATGAGGGAGCGAGAGAATGACAGGTGTAAGGAAGGGAAACAGAAAATCCTATTGGGATGATGGGAGAGGAACGGGGGTGATGCAGCAGCAGAGGGGAATGACATCAGGAGAGCCTGCTGGATGGGGGGAAGGGGGAAGGTGGAAAAAAGTGAAGAGAGTGGGCGACGGAGAGGGGGACAGCGAGAGTCATGGAAGGGCGTAGTTGGGAATCACTGCATGCAGACTCACGGTGTTGAGGAATTGCATTCGCTCCAGCGACGTCAGTCGAGCGTCCATCAGCTGCAGCCGAGCCGCCAGGCTGGCAGTCGACGGCGACACTGACGTGGCAGCTGGCTGTTGCAATGCTGACGTGGCAGAAGCAGCTGACGGTGGTGGCGGTGCAGGAGGCTGAGTTGGCAGAGATACTTCCGGAATGATGCTGGCACTGTTAGCACCACCATCTGTAGCACCAGCACCTGCTGTAGCTGCTCCTGCAGCGGCAGCAGCTGTAGCGGCGGCAGCAACAACAGTGTGCATAGCTGGCAGTACGCCGTAAGAGGGTGTACTGGTGCCGGCTGTAGCAGCAGATGTAGCAGAAGGGTACGATGGTGGCATGAACGCTGCGAGTGCTCTGTTGTGCTCTCTGCTGCTGCTGCTGCTGCTGCTGGTGCCAGCGACAGTCGTGGTAGGTAGTAACAATGGAGCAGCCTTTGGGGGAACGGGGGAAAGGAGCGAAGGTGTCTTTGAGAGAGGAACGAAAGGAATCCATACGAGTTGTTTTTTGTGAGGCTCCTTGTGCGAGGGAATCTGATGAAAACGATAAGCGTTTGCTGTCCTGCTGAGTGGGTCTCAATGCTTGACCGATAACCACCAATCTATGATCAGACAGGTGGTCAGTGTGGTGTCGCGCAAGACACTGACCACCAAACGCTTGGACGTTTGGACGCTTGGATGATGCGGGTATAGAGACGACTTTGAGGGCGTCAAAAGTAGTCAGTGTGGTGGTGTGCTTGGTCAATTGGACGCCTGGATGATGCCACACTCATATAAACTGTTTAACAGCGTGGAAGTGGTTCACCTTGGAAGATGATCTTTCATAAAGGGGAAGATGACGCTTCGATGATGCATGGTCATATTCCCCTTTATGGAAGTCATTAAGCAAGTGGCTCTCACCTGAGGGGACACGTTGAGTCGTTGCAGCAGGGCGTGCAGGCGGGCGGCCTGCTGGCTGTGATGGACGTCGACAGACTCTGAGAAGAACACTCGGTTGCTGTCGTGGATTATCTCCACGAATGGCTGCATGCCACGTGTCACAGGGTGGGGGACAATGCCATAATTGACAGGGAGGGAAGGGATCGGAATGGACAGATAACGGGAAGATTGTGATGGAAGGAGGGTAAGAGGGAAATGCGGCGTCTACAACATGATTTACAGGGTTGGGACTGCTTTTGAGTCGACGTCTACAACATGATTTACAGGGTTGGGACTGCTTTTGAGTCGACGTCTACAACATGATTTACAGGGTTGGGACTGCTTTTGAGTCGACGTCTACAACATGATTTACAGGGTTGGGACTGCTTTTGAGTCGACGTCTACAACATGATTTACAGGGTTGGGACTGCTTTTGAGTCGACGTCTACAACATGATTTACAGGGTTGGGACTGCTTTTGAGTCGACGTCTACAACATGATTTACAGGGTTAGGAGGGAAGGGACAGATGATGGGGACGTGCAATGGAAGGAGAGTAGCAGATTGTTTTTCTGGCATGAACATTGCCCTTTGAGACCTCTGATGACTAATCTTTTGAGAATTCTCAAAGGTGACACAGACATTGCCCTTGCCCTTGATCCGCACAGAGTCAGTGCTGCCGCACCGTACCAACATAGATCCCACTGGTGACGTACGTCCCTTCCAGCCTCATGGCTTGCCCTGCAGCAGCTACAGCATCCCAGCTTGATCCGCATAGAGCCAGTGCCACCATACCGCACTGACATAAATCTCACAGAACCGAGTTCTATACCTTGGTAACATACGTCCCTTCCAGCCTCATGGCTCGCCCTGCAGCAGCTACAGCGTCCCGGCTGCTGCCCTTGATTTGCACAAAGCGCCGCCCATTCAGACCCTTGATTCCCACCACCTCCACTGAGATCTGGTGGGCAATACGGACGGGATGGGATGGAATGAGCACTGTGATCCGATGAAGCAATAAGCCCCACCCTTCTCATATGATCGCCCCATCCCCCCTTGATCTGCACAAAGTGGCGCCCGTTCAAGCCCTTGATTCCCACCACCTCCACTGAAATCTGGTGGGCAAGACGGACGGGATGGGATGGCTTTTGAGGCGCCTCAAAAGTCGTCTCTCTACCCGCAATTTTTTAGGCGCCTCAAAACCCATTCAGGCCCTTGATTCCCACCACCTCCACTGAGATCTGGTGGGCAAGACGGACGGGATGGGATGGGATTGAATGGGCACTTGTCATGACCATGGGGATCGATGAAGCACTACGCCCCACCCTTGATCTGCACAAAGCACTACGCCCCACCCTTGATCTGCACAAAGCGTCTCCCGTTCAGGCCCTTGATTCCCACCACCTCCAATGAGACCTGACAACATATAAAACAGGTACAAGGAGATTGAAACACAGAGAGACACAGAAACACAAAAACGGAGATAAGCAGTGGAAAAAGCATCACGCCTACCAAACCCCAGCCTAGTGAAAGCTAGTTGGATATGCTACTTCGATGCTGATTGCTTTTGTTCATGCTGCATTTCAGCAAAATGTTCACTTGATACGGTTTGTTTGTTTGTTTGTTTTTTTTTTTTCGAGGGCGGTTGAAGGTTTCGATGTTCTGATCTGACCTGGTCGTCTTGGAACACCGAGGTTGAGACTTCCATGAACAGCCCTGCCTGGTACCTGCACCCAGCACAAACAGATAAAGAGTAAAATGAGTCAGCTTCAAATGGAGATGGAGAAACTTTGGGAGTCAGCTTCAAACACCACCATCGCTGCTGGTAACCTGGTTACCATAAACCTATCACTCACCCAAGCCTCCACAAGCCCTGCCACTGTGGACAGCCGGATAGCAAACTCCACGTGGGGTTGCATCAGATTGCCCACATGCTAGATGGACCACCACCACAGCTGGTTACCTGGTTACCACTGCAGCACTCACCCCAGCCTGACAAGCCCTGCCACTGTGGAGAGTCCGATGTCAAACTCCACTTGCGGCTGAATCACAAAGTCACCCTCTGTTAACGGCTGGAGGGTGTAGGGTGTAAAGCCACAGGCGATTGGGAGAAAGACAACTGGACATCAGGGTTGAGGGGTGTAGCGTTGGGACACAAGCGGAGATAGAGAAGGGGGACTGGGAAAGAGAACGGAAGGACCTGATAACAATCTTCTGTACAAGCACAACACTCAGAGCCACCTCACGAATCAGCACGGCAAATCGGGTTGTTGCAGCAGCGCACGCTAATCCAACCAGTCGATTTTTTAGTCGACTAAAAAATAACCTCACCTCACGAATCAGCACGGCGAATCGGTTGTTGCAGCAGCGCACGCGGATCCAATCGGACTCCCTCACAGGCCCCTCTGGGTGCAGCCCAGGCAAGTAAAAGAAGACGTCCGTGTAGCACAGCTGTCGCCGGTGGTGGGTGGAGGGGTCAACCACCCGTAAAATGTCCTCCTCCGTAACCTGGTGGTGGGGTGGTAAGTGTGCACAGAAAGTCAAAGAGATTCCTATTAGAATGCAATCCCTCAAAGGCCCCTGGGGGTGCAGCCCGGGCAGGTAAACCAAGACGTCCGTGTAGCACAGCTGGCGCCGGTGGTGGGTGGAAGGGTCGACCACTCGCAAGATATCCTCCTCCGTAACCTGGGGAGGTGGCGCAAAGAAAGATGAGGACAGGATACTAGCAAGACTCCCTCACAAGCCCTTCTGGGTGCATCCTTAATAGGTATGCTTTTGAGTCGACTCAAAAATAGCCCCTCTGCGCCTGGGTGCATCAGTAAATAGGGGAAAACGTCCGTGAAGCACATCTGGCACCGGTCGTGCTGGTTGGTGGTCGTCCCACACTAACGGAATAATAGTTGAGCCCATTTGCCTTTTGATAGGCACGCATAATGCTCGACATTTGCACTGACTTTCATGCATTACTTGTACAGTCATGCCCTCTATAGCCACTTTGGTAGCACTCCCTTCTGCTGCCCACAGTGATACCTTCTTGTCTCCCAAAAATAGGAAAATTAAGAATAATTCCTTGCCCTGTATAATTCTAAGTGTTGCCCTGTATGGTAGGAGTGACATTCTGTTGCCCATGGATGGTTGTAGTGACCTTTTGTTACTCTTCAAGACAAACAGCGAAGCGACAAGTCTTTTAATAAATCTCATAACTCGTCTACTCATGCGTACCTAAATGTTCATACCACCCTGTTACCCATGGATGGTACAGTGTTACCTTCTTGTCGCTCTTGAGGACAAACTGTGAGGCGTCGCGGGCGTGGAAGGGGTCAAATTTGTTGACCACTCGCAGCTGTGCACATGAGCACACAAAGAGCAGAGAGATGGGCAAGAAACAGGCAGGGATAGACGTGCATAAGAATGTGTATATTGAGAGTCAACTCAAACATGAATGGGAGGCGTCGCGGGCGTGGAAGGGGTCAAACTTGTTCACCACTCGCAGCTGTTCACATGGGCACAGAAAGAGAAGATGGCCAAAAAACACACACGCACACACACACAGATGAAGGGGCCCATCTCTATTTCCACCGACCGTGACTCGGACTCACAGGACGTGGTGGAGGTGGTGGAGGGGTGCAACGCATGCAGCGCATGCACCTGCAGCCCAGCGAGCAGGTGTGGCTTCACACCGACAGCCCCAGTGATGCCACGTCCTTTCAAACGGCCTCCAGTAGCCACAGCGTGGATCCTTCGCCCACTTCCCTGCCTGCTGTTATGGCGGCCGGCTGCGCTGTTGCCACGCTACTAAGGTAGCAGCGTGGCTGGCCGCCATGGTAGCATTCAGCGGGGAGAGCGAGGGATGCACGCTGTGGCTACTGGATGCCGTTTGAAAGGACGTGACACCACTGAGGCTGTCGGTGTGAAGCCACCACACCTGCTCGCTGGGCTGCAAGTGCAGGCGCTGCACGCCTTGCCCCCCTCCACCACCTCCACCACGTCCTCTGAGTCCGAGTCACAGTCGGAGGAAATAGAGATGGGCCTCGTGCTGCTGCTACTGTTGCAAACGTTTAGGATGTGGCGCGTTGGAGGCTTGCAGATGGAAGGGTCTTGGACTTGTTCGGGATGGCGGGCTCATGTCCACACAGGTGAGCCTTCAAACTCACATGCGCCGTGGAGAGGAAGGGCTCAATCTGTGTGCGGAAGAGCGGGAAGAGTGTTGCCTCCACTTCCTCTGCTGGCCGTGGCAAGCTGCATGTTTGCAGGTCGGAAAGAACTCGTGCTGGCAGGTGCGAGTGCACTCCCCCGTCCTGTTAGGCCATGATGTCATGGGATGAACACATGTTTGCACGAAGCAGCAACAGCGGTACGCTTCAGCATTGCAGGTCGAACAGAACTTGTAACAAGAGGTGGGTGCGGGGTCCTAGAACTTGTAACAAGAGGTGGGTGCGGGTTCCTAGAACTTGTAACAAGAGGTGGGTGCGGGTTCCTAGAACTTGTAACAAGAGGTGGGTGCGGGTTCCTTGGTCCTTTTGGGGCAACAGCAATGGAGGAGAGGAACAAAGTATGTAGGTACATGATGAGGTGCAGACGTATGGGAGGGCATGGCATGGCAGGGCAACGCAAGGCAGGGCAGGGCAGGGCATGGCAGGGCAGGGCATGGCATGGCAGGGCAAGGCAAGGCAGGGCAGGGTAGGGCATGGCAGGGCAGGGCATGGCATGGCATGGCATGGCATGGCATGGCATGGCATGGTATGGTATGGTATGGTATGGTATGGTATGGTATGGTATGGTATGGTATGGTATGGTATGGTCTGGTATGGTATGGCATGTCATGGCATGGCAGGGCATGGCAGGGCATGGCATGGCATGGCATGGCATGGCAGGGCAGGGCAGGGTAGGGTAGGGCAGGGCAGGACATGCCTTCATCCTCCACTCACCACAGCAATGCGCAGGTCGAGCCGATGCTGCAGGAGTGGATGCAGCGTGTGCGTTCCCTCCAGCACTAGCTGATGGCAGCGCAACAGGGCGTGGCATAGTGCGGAGTTGCACGGTGTGGGATGGGATGGAGTGAAGGGAAGGAAGGGCCGGCAGGATCCGGTGGAAGAAAATCCTTGAGGGCTTGTTGCAAGTACTGCGAGAGAGCGCCTCACAAGTGAATACGGGCCCCGACTGTTGAGAAAGATCGGTTGCAACAGGATTGTGGAATTCATGGTTCGGCAGAAAGAAATACTACGAGCAACCTTAACACACGGCCACCATTTAGGACGGCCCAAGTTACTCACCACTCCGCTGCTGGCGCCACCGCTCCCGTCCCTTGCTCCTTCTGCCGCCTCCCACGATGTCTCAACTCCTGCTGCCGCTGCTACTGCTGCTGCCGCTGCAGATGATACAGATCCTGCTGAAACATAAGCCTCACGCTCACTCCCATGCCCATGGCCATCCCCATGCATGTGCACAGAGCGGTACCCCACCCTCCTCATCGTGCCAAAGTCAAACACCGGGGTAACTGCTGGCCTCCCAAGTTACTCACCACTCCACTGCTGGAGCTGCTGCCGTCCCTTGCTCCTCCTGCTGCCTCCCACGATGTCTCAACTCCTGCTGCCGCTGCTACTGCTGCAGCCACGTCAGCATGCCCATGCCCATCCCCATGCATGTGCACAGGGCGGTACCCCACCCTCCTCATTGTGCCAAAGTCAAACACTGGGGTAACCGCATTGCGCCCCTCCCGCACGTCCTGCAGCGTGCGGCGCAGCAGCGGCCAATCCACGACCGCCACGTCATCGTAGTTGGTGCCGTCAGCTGTATCGTTGAAAAAGGAGTCGAGGGAGAGGAGGTCGCAGGAGAGCAGACGGGCGAGGTTGCATGCCAGGCTCGTCTTGCCTGAGCCGCTGGGTCCGCCTGGTGGGAGGAACGAGACGGAAGGGGACATATGGGAAGGGAAAGAGCAGACTCGAGGGAGAGGAGGTCGCAGGAGAGCAGGCGGGCGAGATTGCACGCCAGGCTGGTCTTGCCTGAGCCGCTGGGTCCTCCTGGTGGGAGGTAAAGGAAGGAAGGGGCACGAAGGCAGAAAAAGAGCAGACTCGAGGGAGAGGAGGTCGCAGGAGAGCAGACGGGCGAGGTTGCAAGTAAGGCTTGTCTTGCCTTGCTACTGGTGGAACGGAAGGTTGAGAAGATGGGAAGATAAGCGAGGAAGAGAGAGGATAAAGGAAGAGGAGAGGAGGTCGCAGGAGAGCAGACGGGCGAGGGTGCAGGCCAAGGGGAGGGAAGGTGATTCGAGCCATGCTTTTGAGACGTCTCAAAAGGGTGCAGGCCAAGGGGAGGGAAGGTGATTCGAGCCATGCTGGTCTCGCCAGAGCTGCTGGGTCAGCCGAAATGTCCAAACTATGGTTCTGTCAATCAAGACAAATCTCATTGGCGAACTATCAGGAGGAAAACACAAGGAAGAGAATTGATGGATGAGGCAAGCGCAGGGAGGGGTGGGAAAAGGAGCGGAGAAAACGCGGAAAGCCAAGAGCAGAGCATGATAGCCGGGCACGGTGCTTTTTGAAGCCGGAAAAACGGAAGACCAAGGTGAGAAACAGCATGAAAAGGAGCATAGTAACGAAGCGCACATGAGCTCACTCAACAATGCGGGAATCCCGTGGAGGGGTTGGCAGGAATGGGAACTCACCAATGCCTACAATGACTGGAGGACCGTTGCTGCGAAGGAGTTTCTGCACAGAAGAAAAACGGGTGAGAGGCAGAGTAAGGCGAGGGAGGAAAGGGCTCCCATGATGCACAAGAGGAGAGGGTGAGGGAGGGCGAGGTGAGGAGAGTTTCGGGTGAGAGAAAGAGTCCTGAGATGTCTCAAAACTTGAGAAAGACACTTACGTGAGAAAACAGATTCACGTGAGAAAAAAATATTCACGCGAGAAAACAGATTCACGTGAGAAAACAGATTCACGTGAGAAAACAAAGTTCTCAAAGATTCAAGACAGGGGAGGGAAGTGTGAGCTGGAAGTGAAGTGAAACATCATCCATGAGTCAACAATCAACAACACTTCCATGAGTCAACAATCAACAACACTTCCATGAGTCAACAATCAACAACACTTCCATGAGTCAACAATCAACAACACTTCCATGAGTCAACAATCAACAACACTTCCATGAGTCAACAATCAACAACACTTCCATGAGTCAACAATCAACAACACTTCCATGAGTCAACAATCAACAACACTTCCATGAGTCAACAATCAACAACACTTCCATGAGTCAACAATCAACAACACTTCCATGAGTCAACAATCAACAACACTTCCATGAGTCAACAATCAACAACACTTCCATGAGTCAACAATCAACAACACTTCCATGAGTCAACAATCAATAACACTTCCATGAGTCAACAATCAATAACACTTCCATGAGTCAACAATCAACAACACTTCCATGAGTCAACAATCAATAACACTTCCATGAGTCAACAATCAACAACACTTCCATGAGTCAACAATCAACAACACTTCCATGAGTCAACAATCAACAACACTTCCATGAGTCAACAATCAACAACACTTCCATGAGTCAACAATCAATAACACTTCCATGAGTCAACAATCAATAACACTTCCATGAGTCAACAATCAACAACACTTCCATGAGTCAACAATCAATAACACTTCCATGAGTCAACAATCAACAACACTTCCATGAGTCAACAATCAATAACACATCCATGCCTTTCAGTTCATCCCAGTCTGCTCGGTTTTTCATTGCATCGTAACCCAGCCAGGCCAGACTCTGCAAGTTGACTTTTGAGTCGACTCAAAAGTCAACTCGCCAGACTCTGCAAAATACCTGATCTGTGCAGTATTAATTGCACTTGTGCTTGTCAGGCTCGTCGTATCCAGAAATCGGGATCACTGACCTGCACGGCCATCACAGCAAGACCGAGTCCTCGGTCGAAGTTGAATTGCTCTCGCTTTGGAATGAGGTCAAACCGAGCCCTCTGTGATGCCGATGCTTGACCTCCCATTTCCGATGCTGCACCACCCATTTCTGGCTCTACACCTCCCCTCTGTGTTGATATTCCTCCTTGAGCCGTTCCCCTGCCCCTCTCCTGCTCGCTTGGGCCACCTGTCCGCCCCTCTGCTCCCCTGTACCTTGCAGCCCCTCCCTCTGCCATCCCTCCTCCTCCTTGCTGCCCTCCCTGCTGTCCTCCCCCCTGCTCTCTCTGCTGCTCTCCTCCACGCGCTTCGCTACTGCCTGAGTCCTCCCACCTTGCATGCTGCACGCTTGCCTGTTGCACGCTTGCCTGTCGCACGCTTGCCTGTTGCACGCTTGCCTGTTGCACGCTTGCCTGTTGCACGCTTGCCTGTTGCACGCTTGCCTGTTGCACGCTTGCCTGTTGCACGCTTGCCTGTTGCACGCTTGCCTGTTGCACGCTTGCCTGTCGCACGCTTGCCTGTCGCACGCTTGCCTGTTGCACGCTTGCCTGTTGCACGCTTGCCTGTTGCACGCTTGCCTGTTGCACGCTTGCCTGTTGCACGCTTGCCTGTTGCACGCTTGCCTGTCGCACGCTTGCCTGTTGCACGCTTGCCTGTTGCACGCTTGCCTGTTGCACGCTTGCCTGTTGCACGCTTGCCTGTTGCCGCCTGTCGCTTACGGCTGCACCTGCAGCACCAAGAGGCTCTCTTGCACCAACGGCAGACGTTGCAAGCCTGGAAGTCGCGCCATATATACCCTCACCACCTGCTGCCCCCATCCCCTCTTCCGCAGCAGCAACACCACCAGCAGTGCTGGTACTGCTGCTCCTGCTGGTGGTGCTGGTAGTGCTGGTTACAGCACCAGTGGCGTCAGTTGCGCTAGCAGCAGAGGCACTAGGAGAGGGTTTAACTTCAGCTGCACCACCACCAGCCATGACTTGCTGTATCATCTGCGTGTGCATGAGGCCCACAGAGTCCGCCAGCCCTGTGAGACCCCATGATGCCGGGGCTGCCAAGGCTGCTGCTTCACTCGCCCTGGTAGGGGAACGGGTCCATGGCTCCTGCTCCTCCACACCGCTCTCCACCCCTCTCTCCTCCACCCCTCTCTCCCCCGGCCTGCTCTCAACCCCCCCAGCAGTTCCACCTCCCCCGGATGAGCCTGGAGAGCCGACGTTGATGGCTCGTGGGCGCACAGGGAGAGGCGCAGAGGCAGCAGAGAGGGCTGCGGAGATGCGTGCAGGGAGAGGGGACTGGGAGGGAGGTGGTGATGCGGTGAAAGGGAGTTGGGATGGGTATGGAGGTGAAGGAATGGCAGAGTGGGAGAGAGGAGGGGATTGAGATGGAGGAGGAGGAGGAGCAGGTGGTTGGTATTGAGGGAGTTCGGGTGTGGTGGAGAGGGGAGGTTGGGAGGAGGGGACGGAGAGGAAGGAGGAGGAGGAGGGAGAGGAGGTGAGGGATTCGATCTGGTCGGACTCGAAGCGTACCCAGGAGGAGGAGAGTGGAGGTGTGGGCAGACGAGGGGCGCCTGGGCGGGCAAGGGGAGAGCAAAACGCAGGAGCGAAGGGGGAAAGTGGGAAAGAGCGTGGGTGATATGGGGGGGGGAGGAGTATGACTGGGAGATGCAAGCTGGTCGTACTCGAAGCGCACCAGGAGGAGGAGAGCGGCGGTGTGGGCAGACGAGGGGCACCTGGGCGGGCAAGGGAGAGATGCTTTGAGACATAAAGGAAGGCGACGGATAGATTTTTGTGACACAGAAGGCACCCACGAAAAGCATGAAGGCAAAGAGAGGAGGGAATGAAGGAAGGAGAATAACAGTGATTTGCAGAGACGGAGAAATACCACAAGCTTTGGTGTGGACATGAACATGTGAAGATGGCATGGCAGTGCATGCATACAGTGCCATATCTTCCCATACACATGACCACATCTGGAGTCAGCACATGCATACGACACACATTGCCAGCCAGTACGACACGTAATAATGTAGGTCGAGTTGCACGGTATTGCACGCAATATAGCCATGGCAATGCATGCATCCAACGTGGCGCATGACTATGTTGACATAAGCGTCAGTGATCCATGGCCTATCCAATCTCGATCTGCTGTGTTTTGAGTTGACTCACACCACGACCATGCATGACATGTGGCAAGTCAATGCATACCAGCATGGCGCATGACTTTGTCGACATAAGCGTCCATGACCCACGGTCCCTTCTACCCTCTTCCCTCATCTTCCCCCCCATTCCCCCGCTTCCCCTCCCGAAGAGTGGTAGGGCAATCCATGCATGCATACCAACACGGCGCATGACAATGTCGACATAAGCGTCCGTGACCCATGGCCCCTTTTGAGGATTCACAAAAGTAACCTCCATACGTCAATGCATACCAACATGGCGCATGACGATGTCAACATAAGCGTCCGTGACCCACGGTCCCTCCAATCTCAGAGCCGCTGCTGCTGCCAGCACCGTCTGTTGCATGATACAATGATAAGCGGCACAAACGGACCACGGGGAATGAGTAAGAAAAGAGAGGCATGGGGCATGGCGATGGCAGAAGGATGGGGATCACAGGGCGAAGATGCGCGTGTGCTGAGTAGATTTTTGAGTCGACTCAAAAATCGACTCAGCATGGCGATGGCAGAAGGATGAGGATCACCGGGTGACGATGGATGGGTGTATGGAAGGGTTGGAGGATGGATCTTACGATTCTCAGTAACCAACTATTCTCAGATGGGTGGACGGGTAGAGGAATGGGTGGTGGACGGATGGATGGGTGGGTGGATGGACAAAGGACAAGGACCTTTCCCCAGCACACCTGTCTGTCTGGTCCCTTGATTTGAGTGTATGTGCGGCTGTGCCCCTCCCCCAGGTGAACTGTGTCGATGCACACTGAGAGGTCGCCGTTAGACAGCACCAGAGAGTCCAAAAGAGGGATGTTCTCACCTTTTCGGTTGTTCTCTTGTGTCTGTAAGGCTCGGAGCCAGCCACCTACCTTGTGGGCACACTCACGCACCTGCCTATCCGGTCCCTTGATCATCTGCGTGTATGTGCGGCTGTGCCCCTCGCCCAGGTGGAGAACACCAGAGAGTCACAGACTCACAGGGAGCACGGACTCACAGGGAGCACGGACTCACAGGGAGCACGGACTCACAGGGAGCACGGACTCACAGGGAGCACGGACTCACAGGGAGCACGGACTCACAGGGAGCTTTAAGAGCTCTACTTCTCTCAACGCACCTGTCTGTCTGGTCCCTTGATTTGAGTGTACGTGCGGCTGTGCCCCTCGCCCAGGTGAATTGTGTCGATGCACACTGAGAGGTCGCCGTTAGAGAGAACCACAGAGTCTCGAGAGAAGCTGACTGCCACCGCGTAGGAGCACTGGATGAGACCGGGGAGAGTGGTGGATGGTACCTGGTGGGGCATAGAGGAGTAAAACTATGGGATTTTGGGAGGGAAGGAGAGCAGCACATCACACCAGGGAGTCTCGAGAGAAGCTGACAGCCACCGCGTAGGAGCACTGGATGAGACCGGGGAGCGTGGTGGAGGGCACCTGGAGAATGAGAAGGGACAGAAACGGCAGAGAGGAGACATGGGGAATTGAAACGAAAGGAGAGCACCACAGAGTCTCGTAAGAAACGGACTGCCACGGCGTACGAGCACTGGATGAGACCAGGCAAGTTGGTGGACGGTACCTGGGGCGCTTTTGGAAGGAGGAAGAAAAGAGAGGCGGAAAGGAAAAGAGAGGCGGAAAGGAAAAGAGAGGTGGAGGAGGGCTAGAGAGCACCGCAGAATCTCTTGAGAATCTCACAACCACCGCGTGGGACCACTGAATTAGACTGGGCGGACTTGAGAGTTTTAAAGCCCACCTCAAACTCCGCCCGCAGGCGGATGATGAAGCTCCTGTCCACCACACGTTGATCCCTCAGTGAGAGGAAATAGCGGATGCCGCACTGATGCACTCGGATCCACTCCCACCTCAGCTGTGAGGAGCCCACCAAAGAAGCCTTACCCGCCTACTAAAGCGCACCTCAAACTCGGCCCGCGGGCGGATGATGAAGCTGCGGTCGACCACACGTTGGTCTCCCACGGAGAGGAAATAGCGGATGCCGCACTGCCGCACTCGAATCCACTCCTTGGTGCGCGTGGGGTTGTGAGGCGGAGACAAATACACATCCACATAGCTGGAGGAAATGGGGAGAGAGAACGGTTGGAGGATGGTGGGTTGAAGCATGAGGATGTGGCAGGAAGAATCAGATGCCGCACTGCCTGCCGACTTTTGACACCTCTCAAAACAAGAAGCAGATGCTGCACTGCGTGGCGACTCGGATCCACTCCTTGGTGCGTGGGGTTGGTGACAAGGAGGGTGAGACACGTCCACGTAGCTGCAGCAGGGCGCGGCAAGGTTGTGGGGGGCAGGTGAGATGCATGTGATGCATGAGGATGCGGCAGCAGGTGGTGGATGCCGCACTGCTGCACTCGGACCCCCAACTCCTTTGTGCGCGTGGGGTTGTGCGGTGGTGAGAGATACGCGTCAACGTAGCTGGAGGAGGGATTGGGGAAGGGAAGGTGGGTTGGAGGACGGGGGGGTGAGGAATTAGGTGTGGCAGGAAGTAGCGAAAGCCGCACTGCCTGCCTCACTGAGACTAACTCCTGAGCGCGTGTGGGGCGGTACATGCGGCACCACACCAGTACTCCTTGGGTGCCATACCATTTTCATATCCAACCCTAGAGTTTTGACTTGTGTTTCAGTTTGCACGTCGCTGGCACTCCTTGCTTGTTGTGCCGTGGTTAATAACCCTAAAGTTGTGCACTTCAAATTCTCCTCGCAAGCTCACCGCTGGTACTCAATATATGGGAGTCACTTTCAAAAAAATCAAGAGTTGTATACTTCTGTTTTTCTCGCAGCTCACCGGTACTCGTTGCGTGTGGTGCGGGTCGAACCCAGCACCTGTTTCACCCTGTCCTCTGCCACCTGGCACGTAGGCATGACACGTCAGCAGAGGCATGGCGGGTTTTATTGTTGGGAGAAGAATGGCTTGGGAAAAGAAGGGCGGATTGAGGAGGGGTGGGGGTGGGTGGGAGACGGTGGAACCACCTGAGATTTGCGGCAGTGGTGATAAAGCACAAAGAAAAACAGCAGACTGAACTGGAACCTGACGTGGGTGAAAACCAGCACGTTGGTGCTTTCTGACAGGATGTAATCTAGTCATGTGCAAATAAAAGGAGAGGGAAAGGAAGAATAACGGAGAGTAAAGGGAAGAAGAAAGAAAGAGAGCGAGCCTCACCGTTTGGTCGGATTTGAGAATGTAGAAGGGGTGGCGGAGGGAGTCGGCCACAAAGCTGTTGCTGATGCGGATCTGATGGGGGGAAGGTGGATGGGGCACCAATCCAGGACAAAGGGTTACACGGTTACACAGTGACTGACCGCTGAATGCGCCAGCATGGGGTTGATGTGGAGAGGGAACGCTGAGAACACGGAGTGCATGGCCGACACAAGTGAGTGCATGGCAGAGAACACAAGTGACACCTTAAAGCCTATTGGCTACCACCAAGGCCTTTAACCCCACGAAGACTCCTCCCATAAACCCTGTACCTCTGCATGCGCGAGCGTGGGCTCGATGTGGAGCGGGAACGCCGGGAAGACCGAGTGCATGACGGAGGCGAGTGACAGCTGGAGGCCGCTCTGTGCCACGTCAGACTTGACCCTCTGCAGCAGCGTGTAGTGCACGCCCCCCACCACGGCAATCCCGAGGTCCAGCAATGGGCGCAGGCGCGAGTGCAGTGCATACACGCCCTTGAGAAGAATCTGGGAGGGAGGGTGGGGTGATGTGGGTTTACACCAGCAGCGTGTAGTGCATTCCGCCCACCACGGCAATCCCAAGGTCCAACAGCGGGCGCAGGCGTGCGTGTAGTGCGTACACGCCCTTGAGAAGGATCTGGTAGGGTAAGGGGAACGCAGGCCTGAATCAAGAAGGTGGGGTGCACGTTGAGTTACCACCAGCAATCACGTGGGTCGAAGGACTTCTGAAAGAATCTGGTAAGGAAGGAACAGGGACACGAGACTAGTGCACGCTTTTCAAAGAAGGAATGAAAGGGAAAAGAGAGGAAAGGAGTTATAATATCAAAGAAGGGAAGGCTACTTCAAAGGAAAGGCAAGGGACTGGAGTGTGACTGAAGCGCCCTTCTCTTCTCTTAAGTGTTACTGATGCAGTGCAGTGTCAAAGAAACATAATTCCGCCCTCGTTTTCTCCTTTTGTGGCTCTGAACCGACTCACAACGCACCACAGTGGAGGAGACAGCGTAGCGAGGCGTATTTTGAGGCACCTCAAAATCCGGGTGCATTGAGGTGTATTTTGAGGCGCCTCAAATTACCGACTCACAACGCACCACAGCGGAAGGAGATGGCGTGATGAGGCGGAACCCTGAGCGGCGGCGGTCAACCGAGTCAAAGAGAGGCATCTCGATGGGCCGCCCTGCTAGCAGGTCCTGTGGTGATGAGCGTAGCGGTGGGTGAACGCACACAGAAAGAGACGAGAGAGCGTCAGGCCTTCCAAAAGTGAAGAGGCAGACAAAAGAATGGGTCAAACGAGTCAAAGACAGGCATCTCGATGGGTCGCCCTGCAAGCAGGTCCTGTGAAGAGCGTTGGCCGCCCTGCAAGCAGGTCCTGTGAAGAGCGTTGGCCGCCCTGCAAGCAGCTCCTGTGAAGAGCGTTGGCTTTACACAAAAAGAGAGGACAGGGGGGCTTCAGGTCTTTCAAGAGTGAAAATGTGAGGCGGTCAACGGAGTCAAACAGAGGCATCTCGATGGGGCGCCCTGCTAGCAGGTCCTGTGGTGATGAGCGTTGTGAAGGCAGACAGAAAAGAAGGGTGGGCCTTAAGTATTCAATGAGAGTCAAGAGAGTAAGAAACAGTCAGTTGCATGGGGTTTCCATCCATCCGATGCACAGCACCACCCATTGCACTCACCTGCATGCGGCGGTGCAGTAACTCCATGTCGAGAGCGTTCACATCATGCATGTCGCCCGTCCCCCTCGCTGCACACGCTTCCCCTTTGCATGCACTTACACCTCGGTCACCCACCTGCATGTGGCGGTGCAACAGTGCCATGTCGAGGGCATCCACATCATGCATATCGCCCGTCCTCCTCGCGGCATCCATGTAGTTCACTTGCTCTATCACCGTTCCTTCCAGCATGCTCGCGATGCGATGCGCCAGACTGAAAGGGGAGGAGAGTGGGAAACAACAGCAGTGAGGGAGATTGAGAATAGACAGAATTTTGCCCGGCAATGCTTACATTCATGATTATGACATGCCTATGTGACATGGCATGCCATGGCCTCACGCCATGGGAATCCATATCCATGCCATGTCATGCGAAATTATGCGATACGACTCACAGCTCAGCATACCTTGACTTGCCAGACCCAGACAGTACCCCCAATCCCCACCAGCAGTGGTCTCTTCACCCATGGCTGGATTTCCCCTATGCCACAGCAAGGTGACATGCCATGCCATGCCATGCCATGCCATGCCATGCATGGATCAGCATACCTTGACTTGCCAGACCCAGACGGTCCCCCAATCCCCACCAGCAGCGGCCGATCCCCCCCAGAACTCCTGTTTCGCTCCCTCAACTCCTGAATGGCGCGCACTGCTATGAAATGGCCCGCGTCTAGGGTCTGGGAGGAGGGGGAGAGGGGGAGGGTAGGGGGAGGGGAGAGAGAGATTTGGGATCGCATATGCAGCATCTAGTCCTCAATGGCCCGCACTGCTATGAAATGGCCCGCACTGCTATGAAATGGCCCGCACTGCTATGAAATGGCCCACACTGCTATGAAATGGCCCGCACTGCTATGAAATGGCCCGCACTGCTATGAAATGGCCCGCACTGCTATGAAATGGCCCGCACTGCTATGAAATGGCCCGAACTGCTATGAAATGGCCCGCACCGCTATGAAATGGCCCGCACAGCTATGAAATGGCCCGCGCTGCTATGAAATGGCCCGCACAGCTATGAAATGGCCCGCGCTGCTATGAAATGGCCCGCACTGCTATGAAATGGCCCGCATCCAGGGTCTGGGAAGGGAGGGGAAGCGGGAGGGAGGAGCAGAAGATGAGTGCAACAGTGGTGGGGATAATATGTGCACCATCACATGCTGATGCTCCATCAACTTTTGACTGGCCCGCACTGCAATGAAATGCCCTGTGTCTAGGGGGAGGAGGGGGGATTCGAAAGGGGGGAGGGTAGGGACTGTAGGGATCATTATCACATTTGCAGTGTTAATTGACTTTTGAGTCGACTCAAAAGTCAACTCGTTACATTTGCAGCGTTAATTCCTGACGCTTCTTCATCCCCTAAATGGCATGCACGGCAATGATGCGCCCCGCATCTAGGGATTGGGCAGAGAGGGGGAAGAGGAAACGGAGAGGAATGGGGGTGGGGAAGGAAAAGGAGAAAGAATGTGAGAATCAATTTACAGCATCAAGTGCTGCCGCTCCCTCTGTTACTGAGTAGCACTTGAAGCTGAGAAATTGTCAGAATGGAGTGCTGACGCTTCGTGTACAGTGCCACAATCGAATTAGGACACGGAAGAGGGAGGGAAACAGTGGCAAGGGAGCGAGTGGATGTAACCGAGGAGATATATATTAAGAACCAGATAATCGTTTCAGTGGGTGAGCACTCCAAAAATGCCCCAAGCCAAGTTGTCTGCAGCCGTATCTAATAATTATATGTGAACGACATGCACCATGCTGTGTCATGCAAAACAGCTGTCAGGAATGGGATTCGAACCCATGCCCTTTCGGACCAGTACCTGAAACTGGCGCCTTAGACCAACTCGGCCATCCTGACTTATCCGATTGAACCCTAAGCAACTTCAATTAAAATTCATTGTAAACATATCCGCACCGTTCAGAAGTCATGCAAAAAATATCCGCAAAACATATTACGTACTCTGGCCGCTTTCTCCTCCCTCCCCACACACTTAGCGCATCGACACACACACGCACACGCGTAACTATTTTCGAGTCGACTTGACATCACACGCACACGCATAACTATGTCGATTCACACTCCCATACCAATTTTGAAACGTCTTAAAAAATCATCCAATGCCGTACCAATTGTGAAACGTTTCAAAAAAATCACCCATTCGCGTACCAGCTCCTTGGCGATTGGCACCAGCCTCCACAGCCCCGCTCCCCCGGAATCCCCCCGCACATCCCCCCACGCATCCCTGCGCTCGACCTGCAGCAGCCCCAGCAGTTGCCGGTGATCCAGCACGTCCGAGTCGCCATCGCCGCCACTAACGGACGCACTTAACGACGGCGAAGATCCCGAGGCTCGGGCCGCGCCGCCATGGATGGACGACGCGGGAAACATCGCGTGCCTCTATGCACCGAAGGCCTCTACGTCATGCCGTGGAAAGAGGCTTGCTAAACGTCCCTATGTTATGCTCAGAAAGGAGAATCAGCTTCTTAGCCGCGGCACGTGATATGAACAAGCTGATCCGACGGCGAATTCTGTGGTAACCTGGCTCGTCTGCCGTGCCGAGCCCTGCGAGCTATCGCTAGAGGACTGACGCCTCCTACGGAGCCGTTGAATGTTATCGGCTCCTGAATAACAGCATGGCAAAATAAAACTGAGAAGTATGAAGTGCTGATGACCTGGCGATTGCTGCTCGGAGCCTCAACCGCTCTGGTGTCCAAAGAAAACTCTTTGGAGCACAACGAGACCCACCTAAACCGTACCAGTGTGAATTACAGTGTGAATTTCAGATGGCAGGGAGGGATGATGGACGGGATGTGCTGAAAGGCGGGAAGCGGAGGCCTTGGAAACACCCACCTGGTTTGGAAAGGGTCAAGGTTTGCATGATTGGCCTAGAAGACGAAGCTGGTGGGGTCAAAGTGGTCCCTCCGAGGAAGAACCACGAATTGGGTTCCTCGATGTGGTGCTGACGTGGAGAAAGTTGATTGCATATTGCGGCACGTGAGCTGTGACAGAGCCTTCTGATCTGTCGCTAACGTCAGCCGACAAATTGCTGAGTTCATATATGGAACGCGACTGTCCGCTCTATTAGCTTCTTGCGGATTGAGGTAGTGAAATCCATCTAAACGCAACACGCAACAGGCCTAAGGAGCAACCCATGTAGCTAGAAAGCTCCTAACTAAGTGGAGCTAACTCAGCTATCGAAGTGAGGATAACTGATCTAGCCGTATATTCTGCCAATGATGCGGCCTGTGAGATTGTAGAGGAAGAAGCACGGAGCCGCTGCATCCAAGATGGACAATTCGGGGTCGAGCGTCTGGCCAAACCCCACTAAAATACACATGGCGATAAGGAGCGAGGCGTAGGAGGAATGCACTGTGACATGGTGCACCCAGCATATGCGGAGAACCTGCATAGATAAAGGAAAACCTTTTATCAAACAGAAAACTATATTTGCAACACCAAAACGTGAAGCATTTTGTAATCACCAACAATCAACACTTAATCTCCCACCTTTTTAAGCACATCATTAAGGTCCATGCATCGGTGGTGTAGCTGGCAGTCTCTGGCAAACAGCTCGCGCATGTCAGCCTCCAGCGCATCCCGGTTGGTGCAGCGCTGGGGGAACGGTGCCGCGAACCGAAGCAAAAAGTGGGTCTGCAAACCGAAGCAAAAAGAGGTGCAGGTGTGGGTGGGATGGCCGAAACACACAAGGAATGTTGAGAGATGGGGAAAAGGGGAGTGAAAAACGGGATCCAGAGCATGAGAGAGTGGAAATAGGAGGGGCAAGAGGCGGATGAGGAGAAGGGAAGGGAAGAGGGTGGGGAAGGGAAGATTGACAGACATAGTGAGCAAGAGAGAGCAATGGACAACATACAGTCTGCTTGGTGTTGGAGGACATGATGAGGCAGCGGAAGTTGGAGCATTGTGCATACGACTAACAAATGCTGATAGGAAGACAGCACTCATAGCTTGCTTGGCGTTGGAGGACATGATGGAGGTGATGAAGCAGAGGAAGTTGGAGCAGTGCGGGTGTGGGACTGTGTGGGCGCATGAGTAACGAATACTGACAGGGTGACAGCACTGACCGCTTGTTTTGCGTTGGAGGACATGATGGAGGCGATGAAGCAGAGGAAATTGGAGCAGTGCGGGTGTGGGACGGTGCCGATATTGGACGACAGGAACAGAAGTAGGTCCAAGTAGCAAATGACAAGCACGTACCGCTTGCTGGGCGTTGGAGGACATGATGGAGGCGATGAAGCAGAGGAAGTTGGAGCGCACGTGGGCTGAGAGGTCCTCCATCAGCCCATAGTCCAGAATCACCAGCTGTAGCGCACCCTGCTGCGCCTGTCCCTCCGGCTGTAGCGCGCCCTCCCCTGTGGGTGGTGCAGGTGGCGGTGCTGCCATGCGAGCGAGGATGTTCCCAGGGTGCAGGTCCAAGTGAATGTGGTTGTCCTGTAGCAGCATCTTCAGGTACGCGTCCACTCCCACTGCTGCTATCTGCCAGGGCAGAGAGGGGGGGGAGTGGGGGGGAATGCGGTTAAGAGAGTTCAGGTGGATGTGGTTTTCCAGTAGCAGATTTTTCAAGTACGCGTCTACCCCCACTGCTGCAATCTGTGGGGGAGGGAGGAATGATGGAGGAGGGAATTTGAGAAGGGTTGGTCATCATGCTGGTCCAGGTGGATGTGGATATCTACCCCCACTGCTGCAATCTGCCAAGCAAAATGGAGGCAAGGCAAAGGCAGGGATGGCAGGGCGCAAGGGAAAAGAGGTGTTGAGAGGGGTGCCGGCCCACGTGGGTGCGGCTATCCTGTAGCAGCATCTTCAGGTAGGCGTCCACTCCCACTGCTGCTATCTGCCAGGGGCGGGCAGGTAGAGAAGGAAGGGCAGGAGGTGTTGAGAGGGGTGCGGGTCCAGGTCGATGCGGTTCTCTTGCATCTTAGCTGCATGCGCAGGTCGAATAGCACCCACACCTATCTGTGTGACTTTTGAGTCGACTCAACAGTCACCTCATCTTAGCTGCATGCACAGGTCGAATGACACTCACCTGTCTGTGTGTTGAGCGAGCTGTGCTCCTTGCAGTGCAGGAACCGGTGCAGCGGCTCCCCGCGCTCAAAGCCCTCTGGGAAGAAGAACACCTGCATGCATTCCACACCTGCATGCATTCCACACCTGCATGCATTCCACACCTGCATGCATTCCACACCTGCATGCATTCCACACCTGCATGCATTCCACACCTGCATGCATTCCACACCTGCATGCATTCCACACCTGCATGCATTCCACACCTGCATGCATTCCACACCTGCATGCATTCCACACCTGCATGCATTCCACACCTGCATGCATTCCACACCTGCATGCATTCCACACCTGCATGCATTCCACACCTGCATGCATTCCACACCTGCATGCATTCCACACCTGCATGCATTCCACACCTGCATGCATTCCACACCTGCATGCATTCCACACCTGCATGCATTCCACACCTGCATGCATTCCACACCTGCATGCATTCCACACCTGCATGCATTCCACACCTGCATGCATTCCACACCTGCATGCATTCCACACCTGCATGCATTCCACACCTGCATGCATTCCACACCTGCATGCATTCCACACCTGCATGCATTCCACACCTGCATGCATTCCACACCTGCATGCATTCCACACCTGCATGCATTCCACACCTGCATGCATTCAACACCTGCATGCATTCCACACCTGCATGCATTCCACACCTGCATGCATTCCACACCTGCGTGCATTCCACACCTGCATGCATTCCACACCTGCATGCATTCCACACCTGCATGCATTCCACACCTGCATGCATTCCACACCTGCATGCATTCCACACCTGCATGCATTCCACCTGCTGGCTCCATAAATCTCCCCCCACCCACCCACCCACCCACCTGTGTGTTGAGAGAGCTGTTCTCTTTGGAATGCAGGAACCGGTGCAGCGGCTCCCCGCGTTCAAAGCTCTCTACAATGACTCCCTCGGACACCAGGTGCGGCAGCACCTGGGCGATCACCACCCTCTCCCTCACGGGATAGAAGTCGGTGTAGAGACGATGGGCATGGTATGCCTCAACACGCAGGTCAGCCTGCCAGGGAGGAGGAAGATTGAGAGGGGAAGGGAAGGAAGACAGGTCAGCGGCTCTCCAGACTGACACCCTCTGACACGAGGTGCGGCAGCACCTCCAGGTGGGGAAGGGAGCAGCAGCACCCAGGAGAGGCTCCCCGCACTCAAAGCACTCCACGATGACTCCTTCTGACACCAGGTGAGGCAACACCAGCGCGATCACCACTCTCTCCCTCACGGGATAGAAGTCGGTGAACAGGCGGTGCGCGTGGTATGCCTCTACCTTTAGGTCAGCCTGGGAGGAGAGGGAATGGTTGATAAGGAGGGAAGGATAGGAAGGGAGCTTAGCAGGTCTCCAATAACACCCCCTCTGACACCAGGTGCGGCAGCACCTGGGCGATCACCACCCTCTCCCTCACGGGATAGAAGTCGGCGTACAGGCGGTGCGCGTGATAGGCCTCCACTCTCAGATCAGCCTGGAAGGGAGGGGAATGACTGATGGGGTCAAGGAGGGAGAGGGAGAGCTTTGCATAAATCCAATTGTTACTGCTGAACATTTTTCTCACCCTCAGTCTCACCCTAAAATCCCACAGTCACTCTCAATCCCAGTCTCACCTGCTCTCTCATCGTGTGACTGAACTGCTCCAGCCCCGGCACCCGATCCACCACCGCAGCCACCCCCGCCATCACCTCAAAGTCCTGCTTGATCCTCAACTCAACCCCACGCGCACCTCTCATCCTTGCTCTGTGTGCCTAGAACCCGCATTTCCCTGTGCGACCTCACTCTCTGATGCTCACCTGCTCTCTCATCGTGTGACTGAACTGCTCCAGGCTGTCCTGCAGCCGAATCCACTTGAGCCCCGGCACACGGTCCACCACCGCAGCCACCCCCGCCATCACCTCAAAGTCCTGCTTGATCCTCAACCCCACGCGCGGATGCCGCACTTTCACCACCACCCACTCAGGCACGTGCGCACACGCGCCCCTCACTCTCGCCCGGTGCACCTGCGCTATGCTCCCCGACGCCAGAGCCCCCCTCTCAAACTCCTCAAACAGATCCTCCAACGGGCACCCGAGGTATTTCCGCACCGCGCGGCGGGTATGCGAGAAGGAGTGCGTGGGGGCCTGGTCTTGGAGGGACCCGAGGACGAGGCAGAGGGAGGGCGGGAGCAGGTCTTCTCTGGTGGAGGCCCACTGGCCCCATTTGATGAACGCTGCTCCCCCCCGGCGCAGGGCGAAGAGTAGCAGCTGGTGGATGGTGTCTCTGCACCGCTGCTTCATGGAAGGTTCCTTGAAAGAAGCATCCTGTGTGGTGGCTTGAGCTGACGCGACCTCGTTCGAAGGAGATTCCTTTGAAGAACCTTCCGTGGATTGATGTTGCCGAGCGACCACCACCACCACCCCCTTGCTCTCCCCTGTGTCTTCTCCTGCTTCTCCTTTCGCTTCGCCTGCCTGTGCGTCTGGCAGTAAGCGGTGCAGCAGCAGCAGGAGGGGGCCGAGGAGGAGGAGGGGGGAGAAGATGAGAGCGAGAAAGACAGCCCGAAGGAAGAGAGAAAAGGCCTGTTGCCAGCGTGACAGCAGCCAATCAGAGCGTGCCATGTGCCCCTGATGGGGTTGTGAGAGGTTGACGTTGCTGTTGAGGGGGGGTACGTGAGTGGCTGCGTCTATAGTCACATTGGGTAAGGGCACAGGGTCTGGCAAGCCTTGGCATTGGTGGCACTGTCTTGCTAAGGGAACTGTGCTGTTGCTCGTGTTGTTACCGCTGCTGCTGTTTACGCAGCGCCCCAAAAATGAAGAAATTGAACTGCTTCTCTTCTTGCTGCCGCTGCTACCACTGCTGCTGCTGCTGCTGCTGCTGCTGCTGCTGCTGCTGCTGCTGCTGCTGCTGCTGCTGCTGCTGCTGCTGCGAGTGCTACTAGTCCCGCTGCTGCTCATGTTGTAGCTCCTGGAGGGGCTGCTGCGGCTGGTGGGGCTGCTGCTGGTGGGGCTACTACTGGCGCTGCTGGTGTCCGAACCAGTCCAGGAGCTGCCGTCGTTGATGATCAGGTCAGTGCTGCTGTCCAAACTGCTGCTCCTGCTGCTGATTCTGCTGCTGTTGCCGCTGCTCATGCCACTCCCTTTCTCCACCCTCTCCTCCCCAATCTCCTTCTCTCCCCGCCCGACTACCTGCCCCGCTTCCCCTTTCTCCGTTTCCTTTTGTTGTGGTGTACGAGAAGGGAAGGGCGAGGAGAGGGGAAAGGAGAGGGTAACGAGACTGTGAGTGGAAGGCCAGGGGTGGGGTGATGGGAGAAATTGGGAAGGGAAGGGGAAGGATGGTCCTGCTGCTGCTGCTGATGATACCAATGATGGAGGGAGGACGGGAGTTGGCATGATGTACGGGGCGGCGCTGTTTGTCCTGTAGTGCAGCAGAGTGGCGGCCTCTGTCAGGTCCAAGACGCCACCAGCCTGTGGCATGCTGCCACGTGGCAAAGGGAGAGGTGGAGGAGGAGAGTGAGGTGAGAGAAGAAGCATGAGAGCTGGAGGAGAGATGGAGTGAGACGAACGAAGAGATTTATTAGTCATGCGCATGCCATACGAATAGCTCCCCTCCCACTCAAGATATTGTCAGACATGGACAGGTGTTATGTTACACATGAAGCATGACACATCCACAACACCCATTCCCTGTACCCTCATATGGTGGATAAACCATCAACGGAGCTCTAGGCTACTCACTCATGGTACGTCTTGGCCACTCCCATCCATGCTCTCCTATGCGCCCTCCTCCACGCCACCCAGCTCCTACGAACACTCCCAAGTCTTGATCCCACCCCGACCATCCCATCACCCAAACTCTCACAACAGCCCATCACAAGCCACTCACTCGTGGTATGTCTTGATCAGCTTCGCCACTCGGCTTGCTGCCCTTCTATGCGCCCTCCTCCACGCCGCCTCGCCCTCCCTCCCACACGCCCCTGCTGGGCCCTTCCCCACGCGCACCCGCACTCGCTCATACTCCACGGCTATTGGGAGAGATGCTCCGAGACAGACCAGCGTGTGCTGTTGGGGAGAGGGAAGGGAGGGAGTGGATGCGAAACAAGGGAATATGAGCTTCCACACGCCCCTGCTGGGCCCTTCCCCACGCGCACCCGCACTCGCTCATGCTCCACGGCTATTGGCAGGGACGCGCCCAAGCAGACCAGCGTGTGCTGTAGCGAAAAGAGAGGGAAAGAGTGGGTGGGAGAATGAGTTGCAGTTTCCCTCCTGCACCTGCGCCTGTACCGGCACCTGCACATGCGCACTCGCTCATACTTCACGGATATTGGCAGAAATGCTCCCAGACAGACTGGCATGTGCTGTAGGGGCAAGGGACAGAAGGGACGGAAGGGAGGGAGTGCATGGGGAGCAAGAAGGAGGGATGATGAACAGTTCAACACGCACACCCGCACTCGCTCGTACTCCACGGCTATTGGCAAGGGCGAGGACGAGCCTAGACAGACTAGCTGTGTGGGAGAGGAGGGGAGAGTTGACACGGCACGTCCCTTGCAGGGCTCAGGATAGCAGGGCGTTTTACCCTGTTTGCTCTTCATTTCAGGGTGAAAATTTTGGACCCACACTGCTAGAATTGGGTTTGGCTGGGTGTCCACTCTGTCATCGTCAGGCAGGGCTGAAAATACACCCTGCAAATGATGTTTTACGCTTATGTGCAACACTACCTTTTCCCGGCTGGTTACGGCAGACACCCTGCCAACTTTTCCTCTTTTGTTGAACTTTACTAACTGCGCGGCTATTCCTCTAAGTAGCGTTTGTGCGTGAAAGCTCCAGAATCGGATAAGTACTTGAAACACCAGGGATTCAGCTCTAGCACGATGAGTGGCGTTTGTGACTGAAATGTGTCCAGTAGCGTTTGTAACTGAAATTCCAGAATCGGCTAAGTACTTTCAACACCATAGATTCAGCTCCAGCACAAAGAGTGGCGCGTTTTAGTAGTGACCGCATCTAGAAGACCCACTGACAGGCCTCTCATCTCCCCACCTACACCACTAAAACCTCAACCACCACACACTTACGCATAGTGTCGACCACTTAGAATCGAGCCAGGAAGACCCAGTTCGACAAGATTTTATGGCTACGAGGAATCATCGATATGGCAGGATCGACTTCTAGACCTAAAAGTTTTAGCTAGGCAGTGTTTTTGGATTTCTCACCCTGCCAGATTCGACCTCGAAAAAAAAATCACACTGCCATTTCTTGGGTACGACCGCCAAGGCACACTGCAGAGGCAGGGTGTAACGTGTCACAACTCGGATCAGGCAGCGTGCGCCAAAATGAATCGAGAGCCCTGGTCCCTTGGTTTCGAGACGTTCCATACCACAACCACACGTTCAACACTAGAGTTACCTTGCCACCATTCTCTTTATGATTGTCCTAACCTAATCATTGCTGCAACCGACTACTTGTAGTGAGGCGTCCCATAACGCGTCCAACTCACATGTAAGCTTGGAGCCAGTTTCTTGAATATGGCCCCGCCCACTGCTACCGCCACTGCTGCCCTCCCAAACACGCCTCCACCTCCCCCGCCTCCCCCAATCTCTCCCCATCCTTCCCCCTCCGCCTCCCCTGGAGCATGCAGGCGCAGGTTCCTTTCCCATCCATGCTCCACGTCAGCATCAGCAGCCACGTCACGCATGATGCCAGATGGCGCACTAACGGCATCATCACAATCATCTCCAATATAATTAGAATTAATATCATTAGAGTAATCATCATTGCCGTCATCGATATACGCATTCTCCTCCCCACTAATTTCCATTTCGCCCCCATTCCAAAAGTCTTCCCCCCCATCCTCCTCCCCGTCTCCCAAATTCCCATCATCATCCCCATCAGCATCCCCCATCCCCATCCCTCCCCCTTCCCCGCTCAGGCTACTTTCCCCCTTCCCCCCGCATGTGCTGCTGGCCAGGCGCGGGCGCAAGCGGGGGCGGAGTGAGAGGAGGCGGGAGAGGGGGGCGAGGGCGCGGGAGAGGGGGGAGAGGAGGCGGCCGAGAGGAGAGAGGAGGGGCGAGGAGAAGAGAAGGTGGAGAACGGCTAGAGTGGGAGTTGCGACAGAAAAGGACGCTGGGAATAAGGCCTGCTTGGGAAGGGGTTGGGGGGAGGGGGAGAGAATGGGGTGTGAGGGGACGAATGGGGGAGGACAAATGTAAGAACGGGAGGGGGTTTGGGAAGGCAGGGAGGGGATGAGGGTCGTCAGGTAGTGAGAGAGCGTTGGTGACGACTCAATCCAAATAAAAGCATGAACAGGTGGCATTGAACACGTGGCAGAAAAACAGTCTGTCTGTGTTGGAAGAGTTGCACACATGGCACGTGTAGAAGATAGTCAATTTGCAGTTTAGCTTGCTTTACATACCTGGCAGACGAGAAGCAGCACCGCAGCGTTTCCTGTCTGCAACAGCTTTGCAACGGCTGACGGTATCACTGGTGCTGACGTTGAAGACGTTAATAACGAGGATGATACTAACGAGGATGATTCTGATGCTGGTAACGAGTATGGCGATGACGGGGATTGCGTTGGCACTCTCGAGAATCTTCTTTGTCTACGGTGCGCATGATTGCGCAAGGATGACCGTCCGATTCCAGTAGCACATCCCACCGCCACTTGCACCACGTGCAGAGTCACATGCTGCCAAGAGATGCCGCCCAGTCCACCTGGACCCATCCCCAGCCGCAGCGGCAGCCACACGTGCGCCTTCCCATTCCCCCTCGTAGCGGGGGAAGCGCACGGCGTGGGGTAGAGACGGGCGCGGGGTGGGGGAATGCGCGCGGCTCTTGACGTAACCCGGCTGTGGGTGGCGGAAAGCGGGTGACCTGTGACTGGCCGCAGGCACGCGGACCAGTCGGGGGAAAGAGATGCCTGTATGGCGGGGGGGTGGGAAGGGGGAAAAGAGGAGGGGACACAGTCGCAACATGTCGCATGTTAAGCCCCGTCGCAGAGTGGCCCAGTCGCACGTCGTCGCAATTTACGACGTGCGACCAGTCCCACAACCACCAGAGTGCGAACCACCGAGAGACTTGCACTGGAACACACCTTGGAGTCTCTTTCCTGAGAGAACGACATGGCGCCTTCTAGTAACGCGTACGTCCGTCGTCGAATTCGCCGAGCCCTCGGAAAGCTTGAGCTGGTCAGGAAGTAACGACTCAGACCATAGCTCCGCTTCGCCTCGCGCCGCTTCTCGCTTACCCGCACTAAGGCGTAGTGGAGGCGAATAAAAACAGTGATCAGACGCCTACAGAAAATTTAGCAGAATCGACGGACTGCGAGCGATCCAGTTATCACCTCCGCTCGCCAGTAGTAACATTCCGTACGTCCACATTACCAAGGCGTTTTACTAATCCAACGGCCATCGCTACTTTCTGTGGCGCTGCAAGGCCCAACCTCGCACACTACCCTCTCACAAACAGTACTTGCAGACCACTTTCCTAACTGCACGAGTAGCAGCGTAACATACAGGAGTCGCATATGCAGTACCAGCTGCCTCTCAAGACATTACATGTTCACACTAATCAATCTTGTGCCAAACGATGATGATCCACTCCAGCCAACTTTGTGGCGGAGATACCAGCGAGGAGGTGTTACAAGAACCAACGGTCAGATTTTCAGGAAATCCCCAAATGCCCTGACCTGAAGTGTGTGGTGTCGGTTCTCCGCCCAGCCTTGGGGAATTCTGGGCGCTAGTCGGAGTTCCTGAGGTCCGTGAACTCCAACCACTCACTTGTCCGAAGGCCAGAGATGCTCCACTTGTCACGCCCTCGAAACATGAACAAAGCCAGAAGTGAAGCACTACATAGTCGAAGACAGTTTAAACACAAGTGCATATGTCTTACCTAATCACACTGCTACACCTGTACACAACTGTACACCTCTGGCTTGTCACACCCCATCCACATATAGCATCATGCAGGCTAATGCTTCAAACAATTGAAACTAACAAACTTGGTCCGTTCTCCAAATACATGGAGTGTAGCCAAGTGAAAGAAACCCCCAAAAACAAACCAATTATATTACAAGCCACTTCTATTACAAATAGACGACTTCCTTCCAAATGTGGTCAAAACTTAAGTGTACTTGCACGCAACTTTCCTAGCCCTGACACATTGGCCTACTGCATCCCATCTCTTCATGCTATGCGGCTTGTACTGGTTATACGCATCGGGCTTGATACACTCCGTCCACGCGTTGCATCTTGCAGGCTTGTGCTGCAAGTAGTTGGCAAATGAGTAGCTTGGCCCGTTTCCCAAGTCCAGGTTGTATAGGCGGGTTGTGAAGCCATGTGCATTGTTGTCAGCACACATCGCCTGCGTGAGGTAAGGATCGGGAAACTGTCATCGGTAAGAAGTGGGGTGGTGATTAGGATCATTTATGACTGCACTTGATTGATTGCCAGTATTGGTGTGTTGATGGTGCTAGCTTATAATGCAGCAGCACGGAAAGGAGTGGGATTCAAGCTACTCTCAAGCAACACAACCAGCCTGTGATAACCATATTCCATCCGAGTGGAAAGCGCATGTTGCTCCAGACACTATGCGAGGAACACCATATGGTCGACAAACTGATTGGTGCACCCGCAGCCACACATGCTTCTCTGGTACCTTCCACTCCCCACCATGTAATAGTTCCACTCTTCCCCCAAATCTTCTCCCGATTCCTGAAGCCCCCCCTGAGGTGCTCCAGCTATCCCTGTACTAAGCCACAATCACCGTCAAAACATAGTACCATACCACTACCCACCCTTCGGTCGGCTGATTGCACTCTTCCTTCACTCCATGAATCATCCCAACTCACCTGTGGGTATCAAATGTCGTTCTTCACCACCACGGAAGTGCCCCAGCACTCCACATACCCAGCCAAAGACAGTGCCTTGTTGCAAAGAATGAACTCATTGGAATAGACGCAGCCGCCTTTAACATTCCTCTCCACTCTCCACTGCACCAATTCATGCACACCCTATCCCCCACACCCCACCCCCCCCGCCCCCCCCCCCCCCAAAAAAAAAAAAAAAAAATCACCTGTGGGAATCGAATGCCGTTTTGCACTCCTGCCGAATTGCCCCAGCTCTCCACATACTCAGCCACAAACACCGCCTTGTTGCGAACAATAAACTCCTTGGCATAGTTGCACCCATACCTGCCGCTGTACCACTCTCCACCACTCCAATCCGTGTACTGGTTGCACTCTTTAACAAGCGCCCAATCAAACAGGCCAGCCATGTGGGAGGGTGCGAGGGGGCCTGGGTTCTTGAGACCCACTGACATGCCGTACCTGATGAGGGGGGTGGGGTTAGGGGAGGAGAAAATATTGTTAAGTCGGAACGCTGGAGTTTTTGAAACCCAGTGACATAACAACTTCAGGCAGGGAGAAGAAAGGCGTGGTAAATTGGGACGGGGGAGAAAGGGGGGACGGAGGGAGGGGGTTGGGGAGGGGGAGGGGAGGGGTGGGGAGGGGGGTCGGGTAGGGTGGAGGGGGTGGTTTGTGTGGACTGGGGTTTCTCAGGCCCGCTGACATGCTGTATCAGATAAGCATAGGGGGTTGGAAGGGAGGTGCTTGAGAAAAAGGAGAGAAGATGGATGAAGCAAATGAATGAATGGCAGAGCTTTGAGACGATGGGAGGGACAGAAAGGGCCATTGTTCATAAGACCAACTTATGTGAAGCTGAAAAGAAAGGAGAGGTGGTTTAGGGTTTAAGATTTCAGGTTTAACATGAGCATGACAAAACCCCTTACTATGACTCGAAACCAAAGCATTAGGGAAAAACTCAGAGATTGGGCTTAAATTTTGGTGCCGATCTACCGTGCCATCCACACAGTAAAAGAAAACGTAACGAGAATTGTCCACATGGGTTCGAAAGGTGAATGCAACAGTGGGTGAACTCACTTGTGTACTGTATTCGCAATCCACGAGTTGAAGTTGAACTGGTCCTTTTTCGTGATGGTGAAATGGCTAATGGCGTTCACCATGATGTTCCCATTGTATGAATGCACATTGTCCGGCTCGATACCGTCACACCCCTTGCTGTTGGCCAGCTGTCAAAGGGCCAGGAAAAGAGACCACAGGCAGTCGATGGGGGAAACCAGGACTTAGACCACGAAAACGGCTGACGCAACACCCTGAGCTACGCGTGTGTGATGCACAATCCGCACAAGAAGCTGTTTGGCACTCCTCTTACTTGAATCCGCTTTTCTAGTATTTGACGCACGGCAGTCGTCTTCACGTCCAGCCAACGCTCGCCTTGCCATGCTTCCGAGCAGTCCTCGTTCTGCCAACAAAAAAACAGAATTGAAGGTAAACGATGAAGGGCTCATGTTAGAAACCGAAGCTCGTTATGCCAGCTCCTGAACGAGTGATCGAGCTCCTGACATAAATCTTGCAGAAGTTTTCAAATATGTAGAAGGATCCTTGCATTCCGACTCACCTGACAAACCATCCCACCGAGAGTGGATCACGGGAACTGGTTGTAGTCGCTGCGATAATTCTCGGCAGTCCCGAAGCTGAAGTAGCAGATGTTGAACTATATTTATATATGTTCTTTATAATTGCCTGCAGTGTAGAGTGTAGCACATCCCAATTTGCTGTAGGTGGTGCATCATGCTTCTCCTTGCTATATCTTGTACTCATCCTTCTTAGTGAAGCACTTTTTCTCTTCCTAAACTCTCTCGACATTCCTCTTGAACCCTAAAAAACCTAAGCTCCTAAGCCACTCTAGCCATGGCTCCTAAGCCCAACTAGCTTAGTATCTTGACAGCAGATTACCTTCTTTCCCATCGTTTTCAACCTCGATAAAGTGCTCGCCGACACGCTGAACCCGTCAATATCAAATATCTTTTCATTATGCGACGATGCTTCGAGGTTCGTGTCAGAGATCTGCCAGTAGAAGGACGTTCCCGGCGGGGAAACGTACCATCCGTTTCTCGTGACGTTAACAGCGAGGCAAACTGTGATGAATGTCAGAGAGACGACCACGCGAAAGAGTCTTGCGATTATAGACATGGCGGTAGAGTTTCGGTGTTTGAGAGGTCAAGAGGCGGCACTACGTCGCGTGAAGTGAGTCTTTGTCAGGTAATGTGTAAGGAGGCGGAAAGAGTTAGTACTTTGTCTTTGCCACGGCCAATGCATCTGATTATAAGCGATCATCTGGCGCTCCAGCGCTTCGGCTTGTGTGCCTGCCGAACCGCAGCGGGGAACATCGATACTGTGAAAGCCACTCGTTGCACTAAAGGAACCTTCATGGCTTGCATAAACCAACAAACCCTTTCTCCGGTCCTCATGCCACGTGGCGAGGCGCATTGTTCCTCTGATAACGACGCTCCAGTGAACATGTTCTGGCTTCGCGTTGAAAAAAATCACGTGAATGGGAAGAAAATTATTGGTGCTTGGTTCACGGAGGAAGCCGAAAAGCAAGGCGCAAGCAGAAGCGTCGTTGCTGCAGCAGGAGCCTCGTCTGCATGGGTGCGACGTCGCTCCTCCTGCCTGCACCTTGCTCTCGCTTTCCTGTTGCAGCTTGTGATGTGGGGGTGTTGAAAAAATGAAATGTGGAGACTCCAAGGGCGAATAGCCAGCCGTTACGGTCTGACAATAGAAATTCATACGCGGTTGTACAAGTGTTATCGTTTATATTCCGACGTATCAACATCGCCGCGCGCGGACTATGTGGAAAACCCTTCAAACACCAGGCAAAACGCGATACTTGTAGTCCCGTTCAGGAAATTTGCATGAAGAGTGGTTGTTTTGCTACTAGTTTCTGGAGTTTGACATTTACGTAGATTTGGACCGCGCTTGCTTCAACTTCCAGACGCACGGTTTTCCACGCTGATCTATGCCGCATGACTAACGGTCAAAACACAACAAAATCAACTATGGTTTGGGGTCGAATAGTAACTCAAAGACTTTGTTTCTACCCTGTAAGCGAGATAAATGAGATGTCATCGTCGATCGCGCTGGAGACAGTGCGACAGGATTGAGAAGTACTCGCGGTCAAGAGAAACAACTACGTACAATAAAAACATTAAAATATTGAATCGATGATCCCTTCTTCTGTTGAGATGAGTGACAGAATCAGGAGCCATAGCTAGGTAAGCCATAGCTAGGTAAGCCCTAGCTAGGCAAGAGAAGTTTAGGCAAAAAGAGGGGTTTTCACTAGCAGCAATGGAGATACATATAGCAAACCCTAGCTGGGTTGTACCTGCTATAGAGCACCCCACTACAGGCTAGACAATAACATTCTGACACACCCCCATAGCCAAAGTGGGGTGTAATCAGCACAATGAGCAAGCAGGTATAGAACAGGAGTTCACAATAGTAAGCAAAGCTAGAGTTAATCACAGCGGGCAAGTGAGGAGGAGGAGGAGGAACTATGGAGGGAGAGAAGATGGGAGGCAACGACTGAAGCTACAGAGGCACGGGCACAGGAGCGGCTGACTCAGTGGCTACCGAAGCAAGGGCGACGGACTACTGGAGTGACTGGCTCCGCGGCTATAGACGAGCGGCAGGAGCAACGGACCCACTCACGACTGGTGCAGCAGGCTCACTGGCTACCGAAGCAAGGGCGACGGACTACAGGCGCTGCAGGCAACACGACGGCTACCTTCACACAGCCTCCTCCAACTCCCCCTCACCCTCGACACACACCCCCTGCTCAAACCCTAGCTCCACTCCCACAGCACCCCCCTTAAACCCTAAACCCCGGGCTCCCACACATCCACCCCCCTCAGCGACAGCTGCAGTAGTGGGAGACAAAGGAGGAGGAGGAGTAGGGGACGGCGAACACAACCGACACCCCCACAACCGCCACCCCCACACCCCTCACCCCCAAACCCTAAAACGGGTGGGACGGGGCAGGAGCGCGGGGGACGGCGAGGGGGGACGACGCGCGACCCCCAGGGCGCCAAAACAGACGGGCGGGACGAGGAAGGTGGCGCGCGCGGCTCCCCAGGGCGCCGCGACGGACGTGCGGCGGGCGCGCGCGGCTCCCCAGGGCGCCACGACGAGCAGGGCGGGGGCCGCGTGTCCCCACAGGGCGCTGCGACGAGCAGGGCGGGGGGGCGCGCGTCCCCCCAGGGCGCCGCGACGAGCAGGGCGGGGGGCCGCGCGTCCCCCCAGGGCGTCACGACGAGCAGGGCAGGGGCCGCGCGTCCCCCGCGCACCTCGGGGCGCACGGCAGGAAGGCGTTGCACGCCACGGGGCGTGCAACAGACAGAGTAGCAGCGGAAGAAGGTGGGCCCATAGGCCAGGAGCGTTTCTGCTCTGATAGCATGTTGAGATGAGTGATAGAATCAGGAGCCATAGCTAGGTAAGCCCTAGCTAGGCAAGAGAAGTTTAGGCAAAAAGAGGGGTTTTCACTAGTAGCAATGGAGATACATATAGCAAACCCTAGCTGGGTTGTACCCGCTAAAGAGCACCCCACTACAGGCTAGACAAAAACATTCAGACATCTTCATCGTTTTCCTTGAATTTTGAGCTGGTTTTATCTGGAGCCTCTTATTGGCTGCGGAGCTGATTCGTACAATAATTGGGTCAAGCTGCAAAATTTCCCGCCAAAAACGGGACTATAGGGGTCGGGCCAACCCTAGGCGATATTGGAAAATTCTACTCAGGGGGGAAAAGGGACTCTCTCAGCGAGGGCCTCTAGCCCGGAACATCTGTAATACATTATTTTGCATACGAATCATTCAACAAACACTCCTATAGCGGATGAATGTAATCCCCACCCACCCCCACCCCATCTCCCTCAGGTTGGTTTTCATCGAGAAGAAATTTGTTGGTCACCAGATTTCTTGCGTCGCCGCCTCAGGGTTTAGTAAATCTGCTGCGTGTAACACACTCCTACAAGCTGCTCGCGAAAAGTGAAGGATTCAACTTTGCGAACAAATTGCCCAAGCAATACAATTGCGACCTCGTCGAGCGAGATCCCGCGAGCCGGTTACTCTGGCGAGAAACAACTTGCATCGGGAAGCCCACGTTCCACACCCTGACGAACGAAAGCGATCTGCCTGTTATTTATCCTAAGTCGAAGTCCAGCCGAGAGTCCGAAATTCAACAGACGTAGCTTTTCTTGGATAGTTTACGTGAAACTCGCTTTTTCTTTGCCACGTCGCATGACGTTACTTAACTTAGGAAGCATGACTTACGCTCCCATGCGACTCGTTCCATACGACGGCACACTCCAGAACTTATATTTCTCATGGATTGTACCGTAGATGTTTCAGAAAGAAACCAGATCACTACCGCGCTGACAGCAGTCTGCTAAGCTGATACGATTGCTCCGAAACAACCACTACGGCTTTAATCTGCTTCCATCCTAGCATCCTCGCCCTCCTTGCCGTTCTTTTAATGTGCCATTGGGGGAGAGCTAACGGTGTCGAAGTTATATGCTATAGTCTTTCTAGGCTGTAGTGGGGTAGAGAGTATGGGTTACAACTTTCCACGGCAGAAATGAGGAATAACAGGGCCCTGAGATCGAGTCGCCCCTGACCGAGGCGCGCCCTCCCCTTAGCGGCCCGTCACGCCGCCCTTACCGGCCCCACTCACGGCCCCGTCGCCACCCTTGGTGGCCCCGTCAGCCGCCCCTTGCGGCCCGGCCACCCTCTCGCGGCCCCGTTGCCGCCGTCACGGCCCACCCGCCGCCCTTCGCGGCCGCGTCGCCACCCTTTCACGGCCCCGTCACCGCCCTCTAGCGGCCCCGCCGCCGCCCTTCAGCGGCCCCATCGCCGCCCTACCGCGGCCCCGTCGCCGCCCTCTAGCGGCCCCGCCGCCGCCCTTCAACGGCCCCGTCGCCGCCCTACCGCGGCCCCGTCGCCGCCCTCTAGCGGCCTCGCCGCCGCCCTTTAGCGGCCCCGTCGCCGCCCTACAGCGGCCCCGTCGCCGCCCCCTAGCGGCCCCGCCGCCGCCCTTCAGGCGGCCCCGTCGCCGCCCTACCGCGGCCGCGTCGCCGCCCTTTCATGGCCCCGCTGCCGCCCTCTAGCGGCCCCGCCGCCGCCCTTCAGCGGCCCCGTCGCCGCCCTACCGCGGCCCCGTCGCCGCCCTCTAGCGGCCCCGCCGCCGCCCTTCAGCGGCCCCGTCACCGCCCTACCACGGCCTCGCCGCCCGCCTTTGCAGCGGCCCCGTCGCGGCACTTCCGCGGCCCCGACGCCGCCCTTCCGCGGCTCCGTCGCCGCCCCTCCGCGGCCCCGACGTCGCCCTTCCACGGCCCCATCGCAGCCCTCCAGCGGCCCCGTCGCCGCCCGTCCGCGGCCCCGTCGCCCGTCCGCGGCCCAGTCGCCCGCCCTTAGTTGTTGAGCTTATCGACTTCGCTGCTCGCTGTCGTCTAGACTACGCTGCTAGTCTTGTCGCTGAGTCTGAGTCTGTCTGTCCTCCGTCCGTCGGGGGTGAGTGTGCCCTTGGCACGGACGTCCTTGAGGACACGCAGGAGGAGTTCCAGTGCTTTGCTGC